GGGTGGTGGCTCCTTTGAATGTTGCTGAGTCTCCTCTGAGTCCAGGGTGCAGTGTTCAGTGGTAGCTCCCCGGCTGGGGCATGGGATGAGACTAAAAATGGCAATGATCACATGCCTGCTTCTATAACACACTCAGAGGAAACAGAGCCAGCCACTCGAATGCCTTCACTTCACTGGCGTGTATATACCCAACTCACCTATAGCACAGTGTGGCAGAATGAAAAACGAACACGCCCACTCTAGCTCGCTCGATCAGTCTCTCGATCTCCCCGCCCGGTCTTTAGCTAGCTCGAGGACTGCACGTGCGCGGCGCGCGCACCTACCTTCTGATTTCCGGCTTTTGGCGTCGATCCCATTTCCCGACCGTGGTCAGAAGAGGAGAGCCGCGGCTTTTTGAGCTCAGTGTGAACGCTAGCGATCGGGATTAGGGCCAGAAGGGTATCGAAGCACTTCAGTAGACAGCTCACCTGTGCACCGCGTAACCAGATGGCCTGTGCTGCCCCGTTGCCACTAATGTTCATGGCTAACAGTTCTCCAACCATGCATTCGTCCACGAGTGCCTTCAGCAGATTCAACCACTCTACTCGGCGGGCAGTGGCCCCTCAGAACGACATCCAGTCGCCGCCCTTCAGTCTGGAAGGCATCGCTCTCCTACTAGATCGAGGCAGCCCGACCGACGATCTCGCGTACCTCACCGCCGACTACTACTCGACTTCTAGTGCCATCGTGCGCACCAGCGGGGAAACCTCCTGGGACGGAAGACCCTTCCAAAAGAGCCGCTCCTTTCCCAAGGTGAAGCGAGACGGTTCGCTCAAGTCGTGCGTGCAGAACGAGAAGCTCTTGCGACGGACCAAGAGCGTGCGGTTCGCCGACACGCAAGGTCTACCGCTCATCGAGGCCATCCACCAACTGAGCGTCGAAGACTCGTCGTACACGGAGAACAAAATCGTGCCCTACAGCGAAAACTGCGAGTTCCAGCCAGTCCAGCTCGTCTCCTGCAGACAGAGAAAGGAATCTAATAACCAGCCGCGGCAGACCTCTGCAAAACAAGTAGTCTCCCCCAAGCCAACGACCAAGCCACCTCACTCCCTTCTTGTCCTGGAGCCCACCACCCCTCCCCCTCTCGTCTCACCTCCACCAGTGATGCCTGTGATCAGGCAGCTGTCACCTCCGGCCCCTGCCAGCAGCGGACGAAGAGTGTTCCGGTTTGGCCAGCCCGGTTCGGAACCGGGATTCTACGACAGGGTCAACCGCGAATGCATTGTCTTGGAGAGTGTCCGAGACGAGCCGCGCATGATCCGCGGAGTCATCAGAGTACTGAACATTGCCTTCCATAAGGAGGTGATGGTTCGCTGGAGCCACGACCGATGGCGCTCCTACCACGACACAAGTGCTGTGTTCTCTGCAAACGATGGACACACGGACAGATTCACATTCGAACTGCCAGCCAACGGCGAAGACATTGAGTTTGCCCTCCGCTACAAATGCGACAGGGAAGAGTACTGGGACAGCAATAGAGGCAAAAACTACAGCGTAGTGAGTTCCTGATGAGTTTTGCAATATCGTGTATGTTTTAACCAGTTGACCATTCACATGTCACTTTCATTCCTGTTCCAAAACCTGCCTCTTTATTCTGCTGTACAATTATGCGCCTTTTCGTGATGGTGTGTGTCTTAATTGTCTTTCAGTCATTCTCGTCATGTGCAAGTGTATTATAGTTTGCTCACTAGCAGCAATTTCAGATGAGAATTTTAGTAACAAGACATGCTTGGAGGCAATGTTTATTGTTAGCAAGCCAGCGGCCAGCATTCATTACAGTGGGATGATGCCCACATTCACGGACATACAGGGCCACTGGGTTCAAACATCCACAAAACAATGTCAACATGACTCCTACCTGTGCGTATGTGTTATACAATGCGGGGTCCAGTGATAGGGTCACCGCCTCAATTTTCCATGACCTGTGCAGCGCCAGAGTGTATTTATAAGTACACACATGACAATGTGTTTGTTGGACTGTGGCAACCTCTAGGGTTCGCTCGGGGGTCAATCTGCCTTATATGGACACTGCGGAATCCCAATTTGTGTTTCTGGCAGAGGACGAGGGCAGTAATCAAACCGTGCGAAAAAGTGGTCGGAGATGGGCACTTATTTGAGGGTATATGTACCTCGCAAAATGAATCAGAACTTGTTCCGAGTTTCCTTCCATAGCTCTCTCAAACAGGAGTTGTCTTGCCAGCCACCTGGGGCTGGGGAGCTTGGCCAGTAAACAAGGGGTTAACATTATTATCCACACCAAGTGAGGGTCACTTAGGTTGTGTATGTACCGTGTTTCTACGCCTGACACGTTCCCTCAACATGTGCATATCACATGTTGAGGGTCACTTAGGCTGTGATGTGCATATCACATGTTGAGGGTCACTTAGGCTGTGATGTGCATATCACATGTTGAGGGTCACTTAGGCTGTGATGTGCATATCACATGCACTCTTCCGATATCAGGATATTCTGTAAGTTCGCCTAATATTTAAAAAGAGAACAATGTAATAGAGACCTAGCTACACGACAGCTGTGAGTTGAAATTCACAGTTTTGGTAGGAGCTTGCTAGCCAGACTGGCAACTCGTATGATTAGTAACAGGGGGCGGCAGAATATTGAGGGTGGATAAAACATAATCATCACACCACAGTTCTCAGGGGAATACGTATATAGATCAGGTGAACACATGTGGCATGAGAGAGATTTCAAAAAGAGAGGGTGGTGTCAGAGTATGTGTGTCAGACAAGTCTGGCAGCTCCAGAGTGGACCAGAGAGGAGATGGGCCGGTACTTGACGATGACCTGGGTGTCTGGCTCCAGATCAACTGGCCCCCTGTCCTCGTCCCTGGCAACAGGATGGTGTGTGTATGTGGTGAAACATAGTGTGATCTACACATGCCCTCCACATGCACATCATGTGGTGCAAGCCGGTGAGAAGGTGGCAACAGCTATTGTCTTCTATCAGCACTACTAGGTAGGCCAGAGGGGGAAACAGGGAGCAATGCTGTCATCTCCTGTTGTTTGCACTACTTAAATGGTGACCTCCCAGTAAAAACCAGCACCAACAAAACATGTAGGGCTACCCACAAATTCAGGCTTCCCAATCCTAATCAGAGCCCAGACAAAGACAGCCAGGTGTTTTAGCTATAGGCCTCAGCCACAGTTAGCTCTCTACCCACCTTTTTAATTAACATCGTTAGCATTGGTCACAAGTACTCCAGAAGTTTCAATACCTAGTCAGCCAGCCTTGTTTTAGCTATAGGCCTCAGCCACAGTTAGCTCTCTACCCACCTTTTTAATTAACATCGTTGCAAGTACTCAAGAAGTTTAAAATCAATACCTAGTCAGCCAGCTGTGTTTGGACAACTGCCATGACAGCAGTTGAAGACAGGTCAATATCCTACATTGTCTGCACTGCTACAGGACAAAGGGCGCATGAGATGCCCATGTGGTTAGCATGTGGTTAGCACATGGCAAATCATGCAAGGATGGATGACACAAATAACCTCCACAGATCCTATGAACATGATCACCTGACGAAAATAGAGAAGTTCAACTCACTGAGGGTCCACGTTGACCTGCTCTGTCCTCTCCACAGCTCTGACAAACACATAGCTGTCCATATTGGGCCTCGACACTGCATCAGCAACACACACTAACTACACACACCACTGCACACAATGTATAAGACAGCTCATCAGAGGAGGGGCTTACCAGCTTTTGAGTGGTCCAGTTTCTGTAGATTGGAAGGCATGTGCTGCAGTACCAGAGACTGTAGGTGAGCTTCCATGTTGTCTGCGTACCTGGAGACAACGCACACACACACATTCTCTCTCTCTTTCTATCCCTTGTTTACTCGGCAAGAAGAAGGCAGCTGAACTCACTCCTTGGCAAAGACAAGCTCCTCAGGAGAAAGTCGTGATGAACTGCTGCCATCAGCCTCCTGCTCCAAGACATGCAGTACATGTCTCTCAATCTAGAGAGAGGGGATGAGTATATACAATTGGATTGGTGGGGGGCTTGGAAAGTGATACCTTCTCCAGTCTAGTTCGTAGATAGCTCCTGAGGACATACTGAACTCTGTCCAGCTGTGTGGTGACCAGAGGGAATATACAGACTGTGAGAGAGGCCACACCCCACAGGGCGGAAGAGTAAGACACACCCACCTCAAGTCGGTGAATTCCAGCGACAAAGTCCCCTCTTCCCACGTGACTCAGGTTCTCCTCCTGCAGAGCGGAGTGAAACTTCCTCTGAGAGTAAAAAGCCTCCTCACCATCTCCTTTATCTGCTCCAGAACACAGTCCACGACCTCCGTCTTATGCTCCAGTAGCTCAGGAGCAAACCTCTCGTTCTGCCATGCCTGCTTGCAGAAAGGACACACCGTTCTTACAGCAGAGGTCTGCATATCAGTGATCAGCTCACCTCCTCCAGTTTCTCCAACACTTCTGCAGAGGTAAGGGTGACATATTCGTACTCGTCACTCCCTCCACTCTCATCTCCTTCCCTCTCCCTCGCACTCTCAGCCATTTCGCACACCATAAACGTACGTTGACCTTTGTCCCAGACTGGTCCCGGTACGGTTCTGCTCCAAGACGCTAGCTACTCTAAATAACGCCTCCGTGTATATACGTGATTTTGGGGACCCTCCTAGCTGGTAGGGATGGCATTGCAAAGATTGGTAGCTACAGCAAGGAAGCACTGTCACACAAACGACCTTCTACGATTGTTGAAGTGGTCTGAGGTGCTAAACAGCGTCGTACTGAGCCGCGGACTTCGACCCCTGCACGTGTCCGCGGTCTCTCCAGGCAACCTGAAGGCGATCCGCAAAGATCGGCGGAGAAGAGCGACGGTGGCTGAGTTCGAGAAGGAGCGACTGCACCTGCGGGCGATCCTGCGGAACAATATTTTGCCGGAGGTCGTCCAGAGGAGGGCGAGCGCAGAGCTGGCCTGCCATCCTCGCGACGCGAGCATCACAAGGGTCCGCAACCGCTGCGTGCAGACTGGCCGCGGGAGAGGCGTGGTGGGCGAGTTTGGACTCAGTCGAATGAAGTTCAGGAAACTTGCCGACTTCGGCATGTTAGCAGGAGTTACCCGCTCCACTTGGTGAACGGATGCACATACGTGATTTTTACCACACTTATGTATTTGTCGGATAGGGCAGCATTCTCTATAGAAAAATACAAACCCATCTCAGTGTACAACAACTGTTGGGCATCTTTATTCGCAATCTTAGGTAGGTAGGTTTACTTGCGCAGATTATTAAGGGGGCGTGGTTGTTTTCGTCGTGCTACGCATGCGCAATCTTAGGTAGGTTTCGCATGCGCAGATTATTAAGGGGGCGTGGTTGGGCTCGGAGCCAGGGTAGAGACGATGGCCAGGTTCCCTCGGCTGCAGAACGTCTTGCTATTGTTGATCACCGTTCTTCTACTGCTGAATATTCTCCTACCAACGCGGCGGCACACCGTACAACTGGTCAAGGTGGTATCGGAAGGGGGCCTGGAGGTGGTGGTTACGACCGGGACCCCTTCTGCGCTGCAGCAGGAGCAGTCTTCGATGCCGTCAATGAAGCCGCGAGAACAGACAGGGAGCAGGGAAAATGCCGGGCCTTTAACGAGTACCGAGAGTGCGAAGAAGGTAGTGGAGGATAGAGCAAGGGAACCCTTCTGGTTCAGAAAAGATAACGAAGTGGACCTTCGACGGCGTGGACGAGACGAAGACTTCCGCTGGCAGGGAGGGGCGGAAGTGAGAGTAGCCAGAGTAGCCAAAGAAGCCCTAGGGGAGAGAGATGAGTTCGAGCACTCCAGGATAAATTTCCACGACCCAGCTCAGCGACTGGCCTACTACAAGAAGCTCCGGAGGAGAATGATGGAGGGAGGACCCGACGCGAGACCCATTAGAGAACGGAGGATGAACCGGAGGCTGGAGATGGTGCACGACATGTGGGATGGGTGGTTCGAAGACGACCAGAAATGTAAGTGTGATCCATTACAAGCTACATGTACACCTAAACTGTAGATAGGGTCAACTTGATGACTTGATGGCCCCATGTTTTTATTTGCACAGCACTGGATTTGGGTGGTCTCAAGGAGCACATCACGAATCAGATTTCCCCAGAGTCTCTCCAGTCGGAGTTGACACAGTGTGCTGCCACTCTCGGCATGACGACAGAGCGACTGAACACCCAGAGAGAAGACCTCCTCAAAACCAGCAAGAAACTGAGTGCTTTTCTTGCCGCGGTCAAATCACTCGTACCGGAGTCATTCTCTCCTAATTTCACCAGCCCGTGTTGGTACAGCAACCAGATCAACGCCAAGTCAAACTTAGTTGGGATCACGGCAAGGATTGTGGGTCTGGAGGGAAACCTGCAGCTCCTGCCCAACCAGGCAAACTACCTTGCCAGAGAGGCCTTTGGAAACTCTTTTCCCCTGAGGCTCTTTTGTTTGCCCCATTTTTTCCTCGCCGGATTTCCCAAGAGCGCGACCACGACGCTGAGCGACGTCCTGTTTGCCCACCCGCAGGTCAGCGGCGCGGTGGTGAAGGAGTGTCACTGGTGGACGCGGGCACCCATTCTCTCGCCCAGCGAGAGCCTACTGCGTCTCAACGTCCTCCGCTACCTGATGCACTTCAAACACATGGCCCACTATGCAGAGGATCGCCCGCAGCTCATGAGCATGGACGGGAGCCAGTCCACTCTCTGGGACTCCAACTTTGTGTTCAACGGCCACGACTTTTGTTCTACACCGGCAGCAATATCCCACGTGATCCCTCGGGCAAAGTTTATCGTTTTGATGCGGGAACCAAGCGAACGGCTCTACTCCTACTACCTATGGAGCTGCAGTTACAGATACGGGAACGACACGCGTGAGTGGCCACCGTCCGTGAGAAGAGACCCGGCTGGAAACTTTCACATAGAGGTATCTCAACTGACTGCCGAATTCAACCGCTGCACGGAGGCCAACTCGCTCTACGAATGTGCCAACAAATTCACTTTTGAGAACGGCACTAAAGTGACCCAGTTCTGTGGTCAAATTGGATTCAGACTGGTCGTGAGTATCTACTACATCCACATATTAAAGTTCCTGCAGTTCTTTCCACGGGAGCAGTTTCTCTTTGTCAAAATGGAGGACATGGCAAAAGAACCGATTGCTTTTATTCACCACGTGACAGATTTCCTGGAGATACAGCCGTACCCAGTCCGGGATATCAGGGATGCTCTGGAGAGAAAACACAACCGACAGAAGGCAGGTATCGGGAAGATGCACGAGGACACGAGGCAGCTGCTTCACGATTTCTTTGCCCCTTACAACAGGCAGCTGGCCAGGCTGCTTGACGACGACAGGTTTCTCTGGGGATACTCGTAACACTTTCACAATTCATAAGAAGCAGAACCTTTTTTATTATATGTCACTGCACTGCCCAAATTCATTATTTTCACTATTTCAGTACGTCTGTCAGACTTTTCCCGTACACAGTATTGGCAAATATACACACTCAATGCTGGATTTGAAAACACACACCCTACACACAAAAAATATATATGGTGGGGGCTAGTTAATGAGACTAAACGGAGCTATGGCAGCCTTTGTGTTGGGCCACAGTTGATTGGCCAGGTCTTTACACTGACTGGCAGCCGTCTTTGCAGGCACTGCAGCCTCGTGGACACAGTACAGTTCAAACACGTAGCTCTGACCCTGTGCCATATCCCTGAGTGTGTGTAGAATGAGGGAGGGAGGGGGAGGGGGGTAATCATGGTACACCACTGTAGGCCCAAACGTTCAAGGTCCGTCCAACAATCATGATAAAAAGTGTGCCACATAATTTGGCAGGCACACACGTAGATGTTGTGTCTAGGTAGTAGTACACTTAATACCGATGCCTCCAGTAATCCCTCCCAATTATGTCCATGCCAATCGAGATAGATAATCGGACTACCCGATATGAACTAGACGGTACCATAGTTACTGACCTGTAGAACGTGTTCCCGATGACCCCAGGGAACTTGCTGTAAGTGTTGGCCGGTGGTAGGTAGCGACGGGTCTCGTTGTGGGCCTGAGTGTGATGGTTGATCCACACGTGATAGGAATAGAGGAAATGGTGGTCCACCCAGGTCTGTGAGGTGTAGCCAAACCCCACGTACCTCTGAGACCTCTTCACCATATGCCAGATCTGTGTGTACCATTGTGTCGATACGGTTGGGAGAGGAAGAGGGAGAGGGGTTAGGTAAAGGAGAGAGAAACAAAGGTCGGGTAAGCTCCAATGTGGTATCCATGTAGTTTTGACTCTCTATAGCAATGCAAGTGAAACCGGTGCTTTTGGGAGTCAATTCACATGCTTTCTAAAAATTTACCCATAACCTATGCTGCTGAATTGGATGTATTCTCCTGTATACTGGTATAGGGTGCTCACAGTTTTCTTGAGCAGTTCTCCACTGGTGATTCCTTTCTCCTCGGCCAATCTGTCCACATACGCCAGTCCCTGGGAGAAAGAGGGAGAGAGAGGAGTTTGTGACTATAGAACTGGTGGTAGTGATGCGATACCACTGGGTGGTCACGGTGTACGGAGGGCGTTATCATCTCGTCGAATGAGCGGTCGATGAGGATGAAGTGGACCATGCCGGGATGGCACATGGAGAAGGTGCAGAAAGGGAGTCAAGATTAACTAACACTCTCCACGAGACCGTCAACAGTAAATAGTACTGACCGACACACATAATTATACAGAAACAGGCATCCAAGTAGTTCTGCAGTTTTAGAGCAAGGTAACAGTGAAAGCCAGGGTAGTATATATATAGTGGAGTGTCTAAGGAGTGATGGGAACACAGCTCTTATGCTTGTTTGCCACCAGATGAACTGCATTGGTGCTGTAACATTGTTTTTCACTAGTGTCTAATGCAAGTCAACCTACAGTACTGTGTGACTGAGTGAGCTATATACTACTGTATGGGAGGATATTTGAGCATAGGGATGTTGACAGTTCCCTTCAGAGCCAGGAACTCCCCATAGTCCTTCCTGAGTCCTGAAAAGTTACGGATTAACCGAGACTTGACGTGAGCTGTGTCGTACTCTCTTTGCTGAGAGGGAGAGGAGGAGGAGGAGGAGATCAGTTGGGGTCATCGTCTTCCCTGCCTCACCTTGGGGGTGAAGAACAGCTGCTCAAAGAGCTCCACCAGTTTCCTGGAGAGGTTGCTGCTGCTGGCCTCCAGTCGGGCCTGGTTCACGAGTCTCTCGTCGGGCTGACTGGAGTTGACGTAGGCTCGCAGGCCCGCCTCCTTCAGATTCCCCCAGGCATTCTGGACCAGCACGCTGCACTGCCGCAGTGTGGAGCTAGCAGTTGTCTGCAACATACACCACACCACTGATGAATCAGTCCACATCCCCATGCGTTTTGCTAGCACTAAGCAAGCCCTCTTGAATGTGCAGCCATTTCATTTCTATATTGTATCTAGGTAAAGCACGACCTGCTCATAATGCACACACATTTATCTAAAAAAACACATACTTACCTGAAATTCATGTTTCACAAGACTGTTTGTCCTCCTGCAGAAGAGCACCATGCATGTCCACAATGGTAAATATATGGAGATGCTCTCTACCTGAAAGACTCTTCTAGAAGGTCGAAGACACTCTGCCCGCCGCGTCGGTTCCCCACGAAAATCTCGTCCAGATGATGGAGGACGAGGCTGATGGTCCCGGCTAGCTGGTTCAGCCCATACTGTCAGGAGAGGCATTACATCATACACGGTCCGTGCAACTTTTGTTGTGTGACAAAAAGTCTCATACAACTCTTTCAATGATGGTCCGAAAATAGCAGTGTTGTCAATTTGCGTTCAACACGTTCAAGGATCTAACATGTGCGGGTTATCTGGTGAAGAAAACTGAACACTCATTGGAAGGTGCATGAGATTTTGCTTCACAACACAGAGTTGCAGTATGTTACATTGGTTAGTGAGGGAGACGGAGGGAGAGTGGTGAGTATTACCTCCGAGATGAGGACGAGGATGATGCCAGGACACACCTCCAGACAGTGGAGACGATGTGGAATAAACGTCGCCGTGTTGGGTTGCAGGAACACCAGCTGCTCCATGAACCTCCACGACTGCCCCGGGGATGGAGAGAGGGAGAGAGGGAGAGAGGGAGAGAGTAAGGCTAAGGAGACAAAGTCGAGGCAAAACAATAGTGGGTCTAGAATTTTCCCATAATTGCATGCAAGAATAACAATCATGAAAGTATATATCATTCCTTGAAAGAGTCCTGTTATTCAGAGCACCCTTCTGATGAGATGGGTGGTAACTTGACATTAACAGCTTGATGGTATAGAGGTCCAGTTGTTCCTTGTCAGTCTACTTTGAGCTATTGAGCAAATGTTGTTCACCGTCTGTGTGTGTGGGACAGCAAGAACACACGGTCTATTCAGTGAACAGAACTCTCGTTCCACGACCGTCCATTGTAGTGAGCGTGTGAGTCAATCAGTCAGGAGAGGGAGACTGGTCTTAGAGTTTAGCTGTAGGAGCTCCAGTTGAAGTATATATAGCTGCGACTCAAGCTAGCCAGTAGAGAGAATGCTATGATCCACGGTATGGTGAGTATAGCTAACCAGACTTTATGTTAGCTGATGGTGGCTCTACTGTTCAAGGTAACCAGTATAGAAAGACCCAACAGTAATACTCTATGGTAGCTATAGTCTACTCTCTGAGTTGCTGCTGGACTGGGGAATCTGTGTGAGGGAGATGATGAAGAAAGACACCAAGTCCTTTGGCCTGTTCCTGGCAGTGGTGCTGGTGATACTGTTCATGGAGATGAGGACTCTGACTAGACCAGTGGTGGTGGTTCAGAGACCGCTCAGAGACTCCTCACAAGAAGCAGAGACCATTGAGAGCAGGGAGGAGAGGGAAAAGGCCCACCTCTGTCCTCAAAGTAAGGCCAGCTATGAATAAGTTTTCGTGTGTGTCTAATCTGCGACTATAAACGCAGGGTTCACCCTTACTGGAGAAGAGGGCCCGAGTATTGAATCACTCCAGGGACAGCTCAAACGGTGCAGTCTGGCCATGGGGATGAGCCGTGAAACTCTCGAGAAGAGGGCAGCTGTCCTCAACACCATTGCAACCAATCTCTCCCTCTACCTCACCGCCATTGGCTCCATCGTTCCCCGACACTTCTCCCCGGTGTACACCAGCCCCTGCTGGGGGTCGCGGCTAGCTCCACCCACAGCGGAGCAAAGGAGGGCCCTGGGGTCTCTCTTCCACACCAACATGTCACGCCAGGGGAAGGCGAGGGAGAGACTCTGCCGAGCACTGCTGGAACCAGCGCTGGGCCGAGGGAAAACAAGGCTGTACTGCCTCCCTTCCTTCTTCCTGGCTGGGTTCCCAAAGAGCGGGACCACCACGCTGCATCGAGCTCTCAGCCGGCACCGAGCCGTCTCCCTACCCTCGGAGAAGGAGCCGCACTGGTGGACGAGGATGCCCCTGGACAACGAGGACCAGAATTACCTCAGACTCGCCACCTTCCACTACCTCCTCTACTTCAGCGGAGAGGCCAACTACAACATCAAGAGGAACCCCAGACTCCTCGTCTACGACGGGAGTCAGTCGATTCTCTGGGACTCCAACTTCTCAGTGGACAACCAGGACCACTGTGCCATGGCAGTCGCCGTCTCACACGTCCTCCCCACAGCTAAATTCATAGTGGTGATGAGGGAACCCGTCTCCAGGACCTACTCCCACTATCTCTATAGCTGCACGTCTAGCGGACGCAAGCCAGCTGGGGCCAAACGGTTCCACGAGCATGCAGTGTCAGAAGTGAACCGACTCACCTCCTGCCTCAACAACGGGTCTTCACCGTTTGAATGTGTCGGTGACCGGCGTTTCCGTGTGTCAGAGACGGCAGAGTGCGGCTCGCTGGGCTACCGGCTGATCATCAGTCTCTACCATCTCCACCTCACCAAGTGGCTACACTTCTTCCCGAGAGAAAACTTTCTGTTCCTGCGACTTGAGGATCTCTCGCGAGAACCCAACATCTTCATGGAGAGGGTGACGAGGTTTCTCGGTATCGCGGATCTGAAACCAACCAGCACTCGCTGGCTCAGGACACATCGGGAGAACCAGCAGAAGGCCCACGTGGCAATGCTACCGGAGACACGGGCGCTTCTCTCCCAGTTTTTTCGCCCGTTCAACGAGAGGTTGGCAGAGCTGACCGGAGACAAGAGGTTCTTGTGGTCAGACGTCCACTGATCGACACTCCTTTTATCACACACAGCTTCGCAGCACATTATTTTTATGACACACACACTAGGAGTGCATTCGTTTTGGGTTTGCTATCATCTATCTACTGACTTTGACACACCGATACACAAAAGTCAAAACGAAGTATTCTCTTGAGTCACAATAATGCACAAAATCACTCTCTAGATACGTACGTATGTATGCACCAGTGAGGCTGACTGACCTTTGTACTCTCCTCATCGTCCACGACCTCCTGTGCATAGACATCGCCTCCCCTGGTGCCTCTCAGACCAAACAGGTTCCGGAGCCTTCCGGGGAAACCCCTGCTGGGATTAACTGACTGCAAGGGGGTGGGCAGAGGGAGAGAGACAGACGTGAAATATAAAAAATCTTCAGCACTGGTAACGTCAAGTGGAAGTAAAGATAAGCAATAGGAGAACTGCTCTTTACATAATATGTCATCTGCACCAATTATAATATGTAAACTGCACAAGTATGCACCACCAACCTCTCTCATACTCTCTGCCTCATCAACGGGTATCTGGAGAGTAGAGAGCACATTAAGAGAGAAATGGAGGAATCTCGGAATAACACGGCTCAGTCTCATGGCCAACAGAATGCATCATACAGTGGGGACTCACACTGAAAGTTGGGTCAGCCTCTGGGCCTGGTGTCGCAAACGGCGGGTCCTCCGCCTCTCTTGTAGAGTATGCACCTGGCATCACGGTCGGAGGTGTCTGGAACTGGAGGGGTTAAAAGTAAAATTCTGCTCTACCGCACAAACAACCAGGGTATATACTGACCAGTTCTGATCGATCGGGACTTGCTTCTGCAATCCCCACAGCTGCAACGGAATGAACAATTCATTACTTACGCCAAATTTTCCCAGTGCGTAAGTTTCTAAGGTGCCACAAATTGACTATTTGCATCACTTGTGGGGCACCAACTATCCCATGAAACCCATAGGCTGTGGTGTTATAATAGAGAATGAAGTTAGTAGATTTGTGTGTGTGGAATTGAGCATGAGGTATATAACTAACATGACTGAGGGTCAATTCCTTCCATAAAACTGTGATCTTCAGAAGTTGCTCCATCTGAATTGGACGCCGCACACTGTTAGCTACACTCGAATATTCCGGGCAATACCTGGATATATCTCTCCACCTCCCTTCCCTCCCACTCCCCCCACCTCCTCCCCCTCCTCCTCCTCTTCCTCCACTTCACCAGAGTTGGAAAAGAAGGAGCGGACAAAGAGGGTGAGGAGGAGGATGTCCGAGGTCTGGATCTGTGGGGACTTCCTGTAATAATAGTTATCGCAACGAACACTTCATATAATGTTGGATTCGTACATTATGTTAACATACCCGCAAATGGCCAAGAGTTTGGAATTGACCATGAGCATGGCGTGCTGGACATGAGTCAAACCTCCACTGTGGGAGGGGAGGAAGACGGAGGAAGAGGAGGAGGGAGGAAGAGGAGGAGGGAGGGAGGAGGAAGAGGAGGGGGGAGGGGGGGAAAGAGGATGAACAGAAGTGTAGCAAGGTACAGTGCTGAACCATCTCACTTGTTTGAAGCCTCGAGGGATTCTCTGGCCAGCTTCAAGACCACCTCCTGAGCAGCTTGCAGCTGCCCAAACGTGACGTGCTCCACAGCCTGAATCACAAACCAAACAAAACTCATTAAAAAAAACTTTAAAAACAGAGAAAAGTAAACTTTTACAAACTTCGAGAGCCACCCGAGACTTACATAGCAAGATCAGTGAAAAGTTTTTCTCTGCAAATGCCAGTACCTACACTACTAACTAAGGTCACGTGACTTGGTTACACAATATTACACAACCTCTAGTAAGAAGACTTCTTCCTCGTTGTACAGTCTCTCGTAGGTGACCAGGAGTCTCTCCAGAATTCTCTGGATCTTCTCCCTCGGACGGATCCTGGAAGAGAGAGAGAGAGACACACACATCTCGCAACGCCTCCAGATTGTCGGTGTGGTTTACGTAGTTACAGTGGAACAACTCCAATCTGGACACCAACGAAGTGTCCATGCTAGTGAGGTATCCTATAGTTTAGACATGGTTTTCACTGCATACTAATTTACCTTCGTTTGACAGGGCCGACCAGGAACGAGAGAATGCTGTTAAAGACCTGCATCTTCCTCAGAAGGTCTTCCTCCGTCTCCCCGTGCCCCTTACTCATGGCTATGTAGAGGTTCTGCCCAAACTGAGAGAAGAGAAGAGGGGAGAGGAATAGAAGATGAGCCAGTGAGGTGTGTGGGTGTGTGTCCTTGGAACTAACTACCTTTCTGAACGCAATCATAAACCCTCCCTCCAGTGAAATAGAGTGCATCTGTTTCTTCAGCACCACTAGAGCATCCTGCAGTCAGGAGGGGGACACATACAGTACGATCACAGGACTACGGCAGTACTGATGTAGAACATGACTGGTGTTGCTTACAAAAGCTGTGCAGAACGGCTGAAGGAACTCTTGCACGATGAAGATAAAGTCTTTATTCTCCAGCTCTTCCAAGTCCTTATCCTACGGGTACAGTTGGAAGGTGCACGTGACGGACGGTTGGCAGTAGCTATAGCTAGCTAGCTCGAGCCTCACAGTGGCGCCCGCCGACTTCTGTAGGAAGGTCCATCGCTCCCTCAGGTAACTCTCCAGGTCCTTGTCCGCATGGCAGAAGGCGATCTCGTGGTCGTGGAATATTACCAGCCCCTTCATGACCGGCTAGGCTCACAACACAACGCTAGCTAACAGCTAGCGGGCCGGGCCCAACCCACTTTGTGACTTTGCATTTGTGCGCATGCGCTCAATTTTGTCGACGGCCGTCGCGACGGAACTGCAGCACTCAACTGTCGAGCCATTCAGTGTAGTTCGGTGTTGAAGAGCTCGCTGGACTGTGTCCGAGGAACTAGGAATGCGAGTCATGGCGAAATCTAGTTCTGTCGCTCTGCTTGTTGTCCTGCTGTACTTCCGAATGGTCGGTAAGTGATGCATTCTGTCGGCAAGGGCGTGGTGGCTCGCTAGCAACAGCTTAGACCTATGGTAATAGTGCGTCGAAAAACATACAACACTAGGGTTTATGTATACAAACCTCTCTTCAGTAGTTGCCAACATCCTCCCCTTTATTTGCCATAGCCCCACACCTGTATGTGCAGCTAGAATTCCAAACTAACGCATGACAGTAGCAAGTGCGTGATACCTACGAATAAAGAAGTGGTGCATGCACATGATCAGTATGAATTCTATTATGAGGTGTTATATACTCCAAACTCTCCAGTTGGCTACCGACCTGTCCTTCTCATGCATGGCATAGCCGACAACTACAAGAGCATGGAAGGAATGGTGACCTTCATTAAAGACGCTCACCCCGGAACACCTGTCTACAACATCGATGCTTTCAACGATGCGGTAAGTTCTTCACTTTCAAATGAACAGTTGGCAGTAGGTAACCCTTCTCTAGGACACCCCTTTGATGAATTGATATGGACACTGCCAGATTGGAGGGTATTCCACTGTTGATTAATGTGTTATGCCAAGGTTTCTTAGTTGGCTATCAGTAAGGTTTCTAGGCTCTCGAGTCAGACGGTTTCTGTTACACTGCTAGGGAACCTAGCCACTAGACTGCTATATAGAGAACCTAGAAACTCTCTGGGATTATATTTATGTTCACAGGATAGCTTTCTCAAAATGTGGGACCAGGTGGACGGAGTTCAGAAGAAGATCTCTCCCATCATCTCCAATGCAACAGACGGAGTCAACCTCATCTGCTACTCTCAAGGTGCGCACAAATCTCTCCCTCCACCTTCTCTTATAATCAAAATCATTTTATCAACTGTGTCGATGTGTTGTTGTGGGTGTTGTAGGTGGGATGGTGTGTCGAGGTTTCATCGAAGCCTTCCCAGACCACAACGTCAAATCTTTCATCTCACTCTCCAGTCCACAAGCCGGCCAGTTTGGAGGTCTGTCGTTTTTATTAGCATTTGGTACACAATAAGGAACCATATTATAACACATTTAGAACAAAGTGTTCATAAGGTCTCATTTATGCTAACGAGTTATTAAAATTATTATCGTCCCATAGATACAGACTATTTGGACTTCTTTCTTCCAAACTTCACCCGAGATAATGTCTACCGGTATGTCTGATCGTAATTATCTCATTAGGAAATACTTGTATTCCGTGGTGGTCTATAATACTTGCAGATTCTGTTTCTCTGAAGTGGGCCAGTATGTTTCGTTCTGCGACTACTGGAATGGTGAGAATTAATTTTAATAACAGCTCCACAGAGTTGATGAAATGTTTTGTTTGCAGATCCTCTCCACCAGTCAGAGTATGAGAAGTGCTCTGACTTTCTGTACCCTCTCAACAGTGGCAAACAGCCAGGTACAACATGTTGATGACACAGTCAATATGAAATATTACTTATTATTCATTTCTTAGATTATAAGTCAAATTTCATGACGGTTGAGGAGTTGGTTCTGATCGGAGGGCCAGACGATGGAGTCATCACTCCGTGGCAATCCAGGTGTCTGGTTTTTTTAATCATTATACTTATCCATTTTTTCATAATGCTCTGCCAATTTCCTACAGTCACTTTGGTTTCTACGATGATAAACTGGATGTCCAACCATATCAGTCACAAGGAGTGGGTTATTCACATTACCTGTATAATATGCAATAAGGTAGTTGTGTTGTGTTTATTCCAGTTTTATATCAGCGATGCCTTTGGTCTGAAGACACTAGACGAGGAGGGGAGAATTCATGTCTATAATATCTCTGGAGTTGAGCACACTCACTGGCACACAAACAAGACTGTATTTGACCTGTGCATAGAACCATGGCTCAAATAGCTATTTTTCGATCTTCGTAGGAGGACGTCATAACGTCATTGCGCATGCGTAAATCCCGCGCGCCACCGCCGCTAATATTGAAAGGTCAAAGGGGAACGAGAGAAAAGAGATGCCTCTTCCCAGAGACGTCCAGCAAGTCCACTATGGCACAGTAAGCACGAAGCTTCCTTCTAGCACTCCACTTGGTCTTTTAGGCCATTATTCCAGCTTGTATATACGCGTGTTTTAGCCGTCAGAATTAGAGTACACCCCCACACCACTGTATTATATGTACCTCGCTAGATGGACAGCGTGGAGCCCATGCAAGTGGACGACCCAGAGAGCGGTGGGGCAGCTCCTCCCTCCGACTTCACGGTGGAGCCCCCAAACTTTGACCTGGAGGGGTACGCCAACGGGTACGAGGGCCTGGCCAAAGTGAGGCGGCTCATGTTTGTGGCTAAACACTGCCCCAGTCTTCAACTGGATGCTCTCAGGTATATACAGACCACCACTCCAAACTTACACCCAGTGTTCCTTCCACCATCGTCTCACACTACATGTGTGAGGTGGTGGTCTGTGTACACCCACAGTTTGTTGTATTTTTACTGAATTGGTGCACCAGTTCACATCACTGTCTGGACCACACTGGACCCGCCACACTCAATGTCATTATTGCCCCCTCTGACTGGACATATTCATATGTAATTGTGTGCCAACCAGCCCAGTGGCAGTAATCCACCGACTAACAGTTTTGTTGGGTATTGAACGCTCAATTGAGCTAAACTTATGTACATACAAACAGCCTCAGGCAAAATGTCGTTCTTCAGGAGAGCTCTGCGGACGATAGAGCTGACCCACAACATGGCTCTGTACACGGAGGTCCGTCGCCGGCTGTTCCAGGCCACAGGGGACGCCAAGTACTCTCTGGACCAGGAGGAGTGCACCACCTTCATCCTGGGCACCAACAAGAAGGCAGCCATCACAGTGAGTGGGCACACATTTACCGCGTCTGTGTTTTGAAGTGAAATCTAATCTCTCCTCTGTGTGTGTGCGTGTGTGCGTGTGTGTGTGTAGTTGGAGAGACTGGACGCGGATCTCAAGAACTATCGCCACAATTCCATCAAGGAAAGCATTCGCAGAGGCTACGACGCTCTGGGGGATCACCACTTGGACTGCGGAGATATCAAGTCAGTCCATAAGGCACAACGTTTTTAGTCAATCAGGTGTTTGATTGTCGGGGTTTTACCCACTCGCTGCTCAGTAATGCTCTCAAGATGTACACCAGGGCCAGGGACCACTGCACCAGCAACAAACATGTGGTCCAGCTCTGCCTCAATATCATCAAGGTATCCTATACCTATACATCAGTCAGTAATCCTTATATTACCTCCGTATGTGTAACTGTTCCCCGGGTGTTTGGTTGTGTCGTTGGGTGGGAGCAGATAAGTGCAGCCTATACTGCTGTTAATGTGCATCGATATGCCTACACCCTGGACAGAACCTCTCCATATTGCCTGTCATACTCTACTATACACCCAGATTGCTGTATAGGATGGGAGGATAGTGTATACTTGATACCAGAGGAAATGTCTTTGTATGGCCGTGAGACACGTATTGAGTAGTGTGTTAGCAATAGGCAGTCCTTGGCTGACTGGGTCTATTGCGACACGGAACTGGTCGGGAGAGAAATTCCCCTCTGGCGCTCCTCCAGGTCAGTGTTCATTTGAGGAACTGGCAGCAGGTTCTCAACTACTACAACAAGGCCGAGGCCACCATGACAGTGGTGAGTGGGTCCCTCCCTTCCTCCCTCTCTCTCCACCTCCTCCTGCTATATGTTGTAGAGTCCTCAGCCAGGTATACCAGCCCCAGCTCCAACAAATACCGAGGTCTGCTGCAGACTCAAGTGCTCCGCCGGGCTGGCAGAGCTGGAGAACCGAAAATACAAGAATGCCGCGCGGCTATTTCTCCAGGCGCAGTTTGATGACTGCAAGTGTCCGGACGTGAGACTCCCCATTCTCTCAGTGTACCTTCACTACATCTCTCACCCCCCACAGCTCCTGTCCCCCACTCGGTGGCCCTGTATGGAGCACTGTGTGCCCTGGCCTCCTTCGACCGCCAAGACCTCTACACCAGAGTCATTGCCAGCAGGTGAATCGCATTATGCAATTACCTCGACCAGAGCACCTGCCATTCACATGCGTATTGGCTCCATAGGCGCTAACAGGATCACTCCCTAGTTGGATTTGATTAGCTCCCAGACAACTATTCTGCACTGTGATTACCCCTTAATCAATGTGTGCCCAGCTGCTGCCAGTAAGCGTTGTCCCCCACTGGCCTTGTTTCTTCTGCGAGCCATTTGTTCATCGTCCCCCCCCCCCCGGCCTTGTTTCTTCAGTTCGTTCAAGCAGTTCCTAGAGCTGGACCCCCAGCTGAGGGACGTGGTGATGCAGTTCCACCAGTCGTCCTACACATCTTGTCTGAGGACGCTGGAGGAGATGAGGAGCAGCCTCATGCTGGACATGTACCTCTCCCAGCATCTCCACACTCTCCTCACCATGATACGCAACAAGGCTCTCATACAGGTATATATAGCTCCAAATTCCATCTCAGTGGTGACTTATAAAGATTAATCAGAGGGTCTCATCTCCGGCTGAAATGCAATGAAGCACTCACCCATGTGGCCTGCTGTGTGGCCTAGATGAGGCTGATTGTAGTCTTGGTCAAGGGGAGATAGTCACAGGTTTGCCTCTCCATTGTGAGCACAGGGGATTGTATACACAGAGAGCCCTCATCTTATCGCACCTTACATTGTTCTTTTTACACAGTACTTCAGTCCGTTCAGCAGTGTGGACCTGCACCGCATGGCAGCTGCCTTCAACACCACAGTCCCCAGTCTGGAGGACGAGCTAACACAACTCATCCTCGATGGACAGATCTCAGCCAGAATCGACTCCAATGCAAAGGTCAACTGGAACAGTCGGACACAAGCAATCTCACTAACCAACCGTCTCTGAAAAATTCGCCAGAAGCCCTTTTACTCAAAGTTTGGGCTAACAAACTATATAGCACCTTTGCGTCAAAGCACTTTTGGCAAACTTTCCACAGACAGTATATGAGTTTCCATGACAACTATTTTAAGAAAAAGTATTTTGCTCATTATAAAGATACTGTATACTCTGTGTGTACAGGTGATGTATGCAAGGCATGTCGACCAGCGCAGTGCCGTCTTCCAGAAAGTCTTGGAAGTGGGGGAGGCATACCAGCTTAGAACAAAGGTCAACACATACTATTAAATTGTGTGTGGAGAGCCTAGGGACGAGGCTACATGCATACATTTACTGTTGAGTAAATCAGCATTTGGGTTTGCATGGTGTTGTGTCAACACCAATTCACGAAATGACTCACGCTGAATTTGTCATTGCACAACGTTTTCTGTTGTAATAGCTCATCAGTTTGCAATTTCTAAAACAGGCTCTCCTAATTCGGTCCCTCCTCCAGAAGTATGACATCAAAGTGAAGGTACTCGAAGGATGTTTTCTCTTTCAGTATAATGTAACCCTTTACTCTCTCCCCCCCCTATAGGACTCAAAGGAACAAGAAGAGACTAGTGACTCTAATGCTCCGTCAGAAGCAGTTGTAAAAAGGTCAAGGCCTAGGTTCTGAATTCATTAGCTATGTCTTCCGCATGCATGAATCCGTTTGTCGCTAAAGTATTGTAAAAATGCTTGCGGTTGCGCTGGCATGCGAAAATTCAATTAGGAAGTTGATTCCGTGTGACGCATACGTAATACGCTCGTACACAAAATCAGATGTCCGGGTCCCAACCTGTGTATTTTTGGAGATCAGGGATCCGTGTGCGTCTAGTCGCTACACAGTACAGAGCTAAAGTGCCAGCGAGAATTATACTGCATCGATCGGAGGACGGAACGCAGGGAGCAACGCTACTGGCTAGACGAGCGAGAGGTGAGAGCCGCTGCCGTAGCTGTGTATACTACAGTCAAATGGCTCAGTAAACACATTGTGTTGTGGTGTCTATGGTTCAGACTGCAGTAGAGATGGTGTAGAGATCCGAGAGATTAGAAGCGTACTGTACGTAGGGGACGGGTGCAGCGGTTGTGCGGATAGCTGGGGTGCGCAGAGATGCAAAACGCATGAACTGCACTGCACTGGTCGTTTAGCATGTAATGCATGCAAGCAGCACATCCCCACGTCTTTGGCGTCATGAGACCCCGTGCTTGTCGACTTGTCGCAGTCTTTTCATCAGCTGAAGGGCTCGAGTAAAGCAACAGGGAGCAGTGTTTGTTGTCAACACCGTAAACACAGCAGGTACTTCACTCTCTGCGGTTGTTGCACAGTTCTAAAAGAGCCACATGAAACCAACCCCAGTGCAGGTCTTGAAGCCCGACTTAGCCTGGATCTCGAGCGCAATGCGGATAGCTGCAACCCTAAACCTATCACAACAGCTGTGGTGGTACGGTTCCTACCATAGTTGGAGCAGTGAAGTAACATCCTGTTACCAGGGCATTCTAGGTACCCAGCGCTGGCTTGTACCACTAATTCCCACAGTGGAAGTGACAGTTGCTGACCTCATATATAGGACATTAATCGCTAACTGGGACAGAGAGGGTGGTGTTGGCTTGAATGCCGGATTCAGTGCCATGTGGTCTCAGCCACCTGGTGTATAGAGTTAGTGGGGAATATTATAATATGCTACCATTTTTCACTGAACTCTAGATGCAACATCTGTTAATACTTAAATGTATTCATACGCTTGGAAAAAAAACGAAATTAATTTGCTTGTGTTGTTGAAGTATGAATAATATCCTGATTGTGGTTAGAGATTTGAATTGTATTCACAGATGATGAAGATGATGATGAAGAGTAAGTAGGTAGGACCTAGAACTGTGCTTTCCTGTATGAATGAAGTATGCATACATAGGCATCTACATAGGGGATCCTGATGTGGTGAGCCTGTTGATTGTTCACATCATTCCTCATCGGTAGGCTCAGATTAAACCACAGTTTACAGTTCCTCTTTCTCCCGGAGCGAACCCCCGATGATGATTGGGTGCAATAGCCCCCAAAACGTGATATCGTCATACGAATCTACTCTCGTTTCCGCGACTGTAATGCAACCGAAATGCAATCTGCCTGTTTGCTCCGTTGGGGCTGGTGGTAGAGATCCAGAGGTCTCATTTCCTCCCACGCCGGCCATGGACGCAACACAGACTGGCTATAACTTGAGGGGGTGTAAGTGGAACATTCTCTGTTGTGAAGTGTGCATCGTAAGCTGATACCAGTGGAAACCAACGTCCAGAGGTCGTCTTGGTATTGTGCAATCCATGGGTAGTGGACGGGGGTACAGGACCAAGTTGCCAAATTCCCTTCACCTGGTGTAGATCCACTCCTAGAGACCGGGGGGAACAACCTGTAGTAGGTTCCACCTAGTCTTAACAAAACGTAGCAGTTTGTGATCCAGGAGGGTTGTTTATACGTACGTACATAGGCGTGATGTTGATCGTTGGATTACGAGACCCGGGCTAGCTATGGCTGACACGGAGGGATCAGGTTGGTCCTGTGACCCAGTCTCTGCGGTCTGGAAACGAAACCTGACCCCCCGTCTGTCTACCGACAATGTACAAACAAGTCCACAGATGTCATTATACTGGCATGCGCATGATGGATCTGTCTGTGGGGGGTTTGGGAATAGGAGTCAGATTTCCTTCACCTCCCCATACTCAGTACCCTGTGAATGGATTCTTGCTATTGAGGCGAGAGCATGGCAGCTCAGCGTTAGAGCTTCCCTTGTCCTTCTTTGGTAATAGGAATGTCAACAACTGTAGGAATTGTATACGCTCCTGAGAACTAACTAGTGTAAATATCTGCCATGTTGCATCATCACACACCAACATGTTTACACCGCACATCATTACTGCAGTTTCCCCCTAATTTAATCACCAGCTTACAATTCCAATTCGATTTTGCAGGAGTACTGTATAAACCTTTAGTGACCACCTGTTGGCACTACTACCTAGCTCTCCAGTTTGTTGTGTTAGGTGCTGTGCTCTTTGCACCGTGTGGGATTAGCCGTGGGCTAACGTACCATGTCCCTCGCCTCTCTCCCTCTCTCACACTCCTACTGACAGCGTATATACAGTCCTTTGAATGGGTGCTCAGCTGAAGCTAAACGTTAAACGTTAAAATATCGGGAGCTTTTCAGCAAACGATGTGAAACTGTTTGCTCCCATGTCCGCTGGAAAAGCAGAGAACATGGAAACATGTGTGGGACGGCGGCCAGCTAAACACGAATGTAACATGATTACACATGCAAGCTACATGACAAGTACATATCTCCTTGTACCCTCCTGTACACTGTATATACACCTCATGTACCTCTTGTGTCTTTGTTGTTTTTCCTGCAGCCACAAACAACCAAGAGAGAATTGACCAATCATGATGCAGTATTCAGCGGCGGTCGTTGCCGGGGTGTTGGTACTGGCAGCCGTATGCAATGTTGGGTATTCCAATCAATGTGACGGTGAGTGCATCCTTTGAAATCGTTTTATTCTAAACACAGTAAAGAAAAAATTGTTGTTGTATTTGCTGGACAAAGTTATCGTGGGAATGCTATTTGGCACTACTGTGGGATTATAAGGTTGCAGCAAAGCACCAGTGCATGTAGTAGGAACTGGTGGGCTGGAGGTTTAGCTGTGGTTTTGTGTGAGCGAATCTGCCTCATGGTCTGCCTGGAATTGTTGGGGTTGGAATTGTGGGTAGATAAAGAGGAGGGAAAGATAAATTTGGTGAGTGGGAGCTGGAGCTTGAGCAGCTGTACCAAACCATCCAGCGACCATAAGTGGTTGTATATACCAACTTCCTCCCAGAGTTGCGGTCCAAATTATTAGTTCCACTGGGTCACCTCCCTGCATGCTTTGTGTGTGTGTTGACCGTGGCAACGACATGTGTGTTGTGAGGGACGAGAAATGTCATTGGAACTAGTCAGAATCCACTGACTCGTTCTCGCAAAATATGTGCACGTGTGTTTTCAACTGTATCTGTAAAAGTAATGGTGGCGAGACAGTGTTTCTGAACATCAGACAAGTTCTCTCTCAGACACCCAGTCAAGTGCCTGCCATTCCTCGCGACACTGACTAACTGCATTACTATATACCAGCAATTAGATGCACGGCATCTCGACACCATACCATACCATACCATATCCAATTGTCAAAGGGACAGGTGGCAGAGGAAGGTCACCACCGGTCCACTTGGAGTTTACAGAAGAAACCTGAACCCAATGCTGCGGTTACTTTTAAACTGTCAGGGGAGTTTAACAACCATTGGCATGTGTCCATTCAGAGTTTATGCTAGTCCTCACCCCCTCCTCACACCACCATGTGTCGAGTTAGCCGAGGACGAGATTAAACCAGGTGTTCCTGATTGGCCGCTGCAGGCCGTGAATAAGCGTCGCTCGGAGGTGTGCGGAGTGGGAGGGTACCAGGGAGGCCTGCAGCGACGTTCGTATTCATTGTGGGAGGGGCCTGTATTCATTTCATTGTGGGAGGGGCCTGTAATACCAAATGAATCTGTAGGGAATCGGCATTCATGGGCTGATGTAGGCAGCTTTTTGATCTGGAGTGACATGTCCGACTTCAAAGGCCTTGTCTTTCTCTTGTGGTCGGGCCGACTGAAAGAGGACGGCTTGTAGAAGACCTGTAGGTAATGATTGAGTGGAGATTAAGAAACCAAAGTGCTCTAATCCAGTGAGACACCGGGTTAATGGGACTAACTGGCCTGGAATGAGGCTCAAGGGCTGTAGTAGATTTTGATATTGTTTTTGGCAGAAACTAATTACTAGGTCAAGGGTTCACTGTGGTCTTGGGAGGAAGGGTATTATTTTCTGAACTGTTTACGAAATGATAACTATTTAGTGGAGTGTCGGGGACACAAGTACCCGTGAAACGTTCAGCCCATAATCCAGCGATGGCCCAGCCTCTGACTGACATTCCGATCAATCCGGGCAGCGGCGAGGGTCAATTGGTCGTGGCAGACGGAGCTGTTCTCCAGCTTGCAGCTGTGCAGTGAGGCTGCATGTAGAGGTGTGCCGAGGAATGCAGGGAGGATGGTATGCTCTGTCACCCTCCGACACTCCTTGGATGGCTGCCTTCTCCACCTCCTCTTGAGACCTACGGTAGCTAGAGCAGTGGGAGAGAGGGGAGAGAGAGGGAGAGAGGGGAGAGAGAGAGGGAGAGGGGAGGAAGGTGTGCTGGTGTGGAGGAGTGAAACTAGTGGGTGTGAGGAGGAGAGGGTGGTTTTGAGGGGACTATACTCCAGACCTCATCCTCCCTCTCTCGTTCCTCTCCATCAGTAATGCAATTACAGAACAATTCCTATCTAATAGCTCTAATTGCTGGTGGAATTTCGGTCTCACTCCCCCATGCCATGCCCGGTCTTGGTTGGTCAAGAGGACACACCTCTTTTGTAGGCCACTTTCTGTTCTAGTTAGTCGTACTGCCTGCCCTCCCTCTTCCTCCCCTCCCCCCTGCCTGGGCCAGCTTTGTGCCGCTTTACTTATGGGGCCTTGTTTGCCGCTGGTTGCCATATTTCGCCCAATCAAGGAATTCCGTCCGGCGGAATAAGGCAGAAGTGTGGTAACAGAAGGAGAGTGGGGAGGCCAAGTTAATCACTTTAATCTGGTTACTGAATGAGCCCACAGGGCTGTGTATGGGGGGGCAAGCTACCAACCACAAACACCCGCGCAGCCAACTGTCCTTGATTTGTCATACACCAGTGCCATGTGGGTTTTTAAACCATCTAAGCTAAGAGATTTGGTCGTCGAGAAACCTGATTATAGGCACCTGAGCCGAGGTCGGTGAATATGGTGGTGTTTATTTACAGCATCCTACTCCGGGAGAGGTGCGGACAAACAAGAGTTTGAATATCGGTGGCATCGGTTCTTCCACACTGCGGGAACTCGCATTCATTGGGTGATTGTAGACCGACATGAATGTCATCACTTCATAGAGTGACTATGGTATAGGGTGTAACATCTGTGGGTGTGGAGATACAGGTCCTCAGTGGGTGTGCAGATTGACACGTTTCTCTTGTTCTCTGGTCTTTCGTTTGTTGCAAATAGTCATTGCGTGACCTGCGGGGGAGAAAGGAGTATGAGGCTCAACTACGAACACAATGTCTAATCTCTCAAACAAATTTTTAAGAATTAAGAAATTACTCACAGCGAGTGACCAGGAATCTGTGAGCATATGAACACCCTACCGCCCACGGCCATCTGCGTAAACATGTTTGGGACTATCGGGCCATTTGTGCTCTCTAGCCTGGATTTCTGACACAATAGCTCCACATTCCTACGGTTAACCACCCAGTTGGCCGCTGCATTGCTCGGTACATTAGACCTAAGTCTCTCCCTCTCTCTCTCCCTTTGCCTGCCCCCGCAAGTGAAGCCTTCTGGACAGGTGGCATCAGTGCCTTGTTGATGGGCCCTTGGCTACTCTCCACACTGCTCACTTTGTCCGTTCTGCCCCAAACCACACTGTGGGGAAACATGCTATCATCTCTAATCCGAGGAACCCAGCATCTCATTACCCTCTGCCTTATGCTTTGTTACCTACTAATTCCTATGGAATCCGAGGAGTTCTGTCCCACGCTAGTAAGAGTTGCGAAAGGTAAGGATTGTGTTAATCCGAGGACTTGGCACTGATCTCAGTACACAAGACTGCTACTGGGCTTCTCGATTCCAAATCCTCTTGCATGTGCGTAAGACTAGCTGTGTGTGTGTGTGTGTGTGTGTGGCCGACGGGCTTTATCAACATGTACGAAGCTACACATCGCTTGTAGATCTATTTGTTGATGTACTACGTTTACATGTAAAAGGGCCGCAGCATCGGTTGTTTGCATGTTTTGTTCATCCTAGCCATCTTGTGTCGTGGTGTGCATATCAAGACAACAATCGTGTTTTCATATATCAGTTGTAATCGCAAAGAACATAATGTACACAACTTGATGATTACCATGACAACAAACCAATTGAGAGTGTGTGTGTGTGTGTGTGTGTGTGTGTGTGTGCTGGTGAAGTTGTGGGCAGTGGATGATGTAATTGCACTCCATAATCTAGGAGCCACCCGATCTATCCCTGGCTTGCATTCCACGTGTCTGGTTGTGGCGGAGAAGGCACGTATACTCTGCCTCTCTCGTGTGCGGTTTCTACGTGAAAGCTTTCAAATGGAGGAAACCCGATTAATGTGCCTGTCCGTGGACCCTGGCTAATGCAGGCTCTGTCAACAGATGCCCGGGCTTGGATTCCTTTCCCACACTCACTGGTGTATAATGTATGCATCTCTTGCTGGTGGTCCTACAAGTGTAGTTAGCTACCCATCGTTGAGGGCCCACCTGCGCTCTCAGAAAATGGGTCTCATTAGCATCCTTGATTACCCCCAACCTACCTTCCATTATCGGTTGGGAAAGAGAGAGAGAGAGAGATGTGGAAAGTGTGTGCTAGCTTTTTGGATAGCAATCCTAGATACATAATGCAGCACATGGCAATAACACATGTCTCGCTATCTGTAGATGTGGACATGAGCATGGAGTTTTTTTCAAGTCACCCGGAGGACGAAGAGGCAGCAGAGGGAGACCCTGTTGTACTGCGATGCACCTACAGTGGGGTGAGGGAATTCTTTGTTTGGGAGTTCTATCAAAACGGAGGACAGAGGCTGACCATTCGAACCAACGAATCTTTTCCGTAAGTGTACATCACCTCTCCTCAACCAGCCATGTCTTATCTAGTGTTGTTTACGAAACTGTTCTTTTTGTTGTTATAGGTTCGACTTTCACATTGGTAGGCAAAACGAATTGATTATCCCCCGCGTGAGATTCAACCATACCGGGGAGTACCAGTGCCATGCCAACCCCACCGGCCTCTGCAATGTCTTCAGCGGGAATGCCTCCCTAACCGTCATCAGTAAGCCTCCTTCTCTCTCTTTCCTTTCTCTCCCTCTCTCTCTCTCTCTCTCGTCTCTCTCTCCCTCTCTCTGGTGTCACGGTGTTTTATGCTGTGTTGTGCAGGTCAGCCTTTGGTGACAGTGGCCAGCAGCACGTGTGCCACAATGCGACTGACACAGCACTCATAGGGGGAGAGGTCCACGGCTACCCTCTAGCCACCGTCTTCTTCTACCAGGTTTTCGAAGACGGCATGCAACTGGTCAGCATAATAGCCAGTCGTGCACACACACACCTTCCTCAATTCTCTCTGCTTTTCCCGTTGCTCTATATACTTAACTTTTCCCTCCCTCTCTCTGCAGGTTGTGAATTCTCGAGTGACAATAACGCACCCGACGGACTACTCGACTAGTTTCAGGATCACGATATCGGACCTCCTGACCAGCGACGAGGGGACGTACATGATACGAGCCAACAACAGCGTTGGTCACAGCAATACACACCAAGTGATGCTGACAGTGAAAGGTGATAGCAGCTACACACACTACTTGACTGCATGTAATACATTCATAGGAAACATGTCTCACACATGAAAATTACATGACTGCATGTCATAGGAAACATGTCTGAGCATAAACACGTCTCCACATGTAAGATTGTCTTCCTGTTAGCATGTGCTAGTTTACTAGATACTGGGGAGATTGAGGTCAAGGGTCAAGGTACTATAGCGCGGAGTAGTCTTCTCTTGTTGGGTTTTGTGACCTGTTGGCTATCTTGTTACTCCCGATCCTTCCCTATAAAACTCCCCTGGGACACGTCCCTCAGCTACCTATGCATGCTTTTATTACATTCCGTTCGAATTCCTCATGTTTTCTCACTCACTGCTAGTCAGTCTCGCAAGACCTCTGGAATCTGTCCTCGCCAGCCACAACACTCGCTATCCTATTTTGACACAATATTGTGCTCACAGACAAAACACTATATCACTACTCAGCCAGCTACCTCGATCTTTACCTCGGTGTCTCTCTGTCCTCACAGGTCCAGACCGACCAATCGTCACTCTGGAAACTCCTCGCTACCTGATTCAGAGGTACGAGGCACAGCTGCCTCGGATGACCTGCTCGATACAAGTCTCTGCCAACTCTGAGGTCGGAGGTCAAGCCACCATGACTTGGCATGGCCCGGGGAACCAGGAACTCAGTAGTTTGCTGGGAGTAGTGTATCTTTCACTGGATCTTGGTGTGTTTGAGTCCGAGAAGGTTGGAGTTTACACCTGCTCTGCGTATAACATTCGTGACAGAGGAGACCCAGTGACTGTATATGTCAATGGTAGGTAGAGGTACATACTGTAGCATCCGTCTGATTTAACCCTTCTCGTCCTCACTTCTCTCTCTCTCGCCAGCTCCGATCACCCTCTCAGTACAACCAACTCTGACTGAGCTGGGAGGAGAGAAGTACCTCGTCAAGTGGACCCCGCCCACTCCGCCCAGCAACGTCCCCATCTACCAATACGTCGTCTACATCAGGTAAACTCCTTCACTCCCTCCACTGATACTTTAATACCTAGCACTCTGTGTGGTTTATTGTGCTATTTGATACGAATAATATATCACTCTGTGTTGTCGCTGTTTTCTTCCAGTCGCGACGACGTTGTAGTTAAAAGTCAGAGGGTGGAAGATGCCGAGTACATCATTGATGCATCTGTGCTGTCCCCTGGGGAGTACACGGTGAGAGTTGCCGTGGTCCTCGGAGACGAGGAAAGCATGGTTAACGGAGAAGGGGACGCCACTGAAGCCACGTCTCTCATGACCGTCTCTGGTGAGTTCAACTCACATACTAGCTCGCACACCCTCGCAACCATTCGTGGGACACTGTTCACTGTTGTAGTGTTTTAGGTACATATATATGTGGTACATAGGTGTTCCACTACGTATGTGTGACTCATCTGTAAGTAGTATATACAGCTAGGGTTTGTGTTTCCCTGCACGACTGTAATTGGGTGCATGTTTGTAGGTTAATACCAGAGTGTTGAGTATGTGCTCATGTCACTGAGTGTGATCTCTGTGTGTGCTCTGTCGCGTGTGACTGTTCATCAGGCTGTCCTCGTTTCTCGTCAATGTCTGTATCATTACTGTATGTCCTCACTCATCTCCCTCTCTTCCCCACCCACCCACCCACCTACCCACCACACAATCGTCACAATCAGCTCCGTCACCCACCCCAACTCCTTCCTCCTCCCCCCTCCCCCCAAACCCTTCCCCCACCACCTCACCCCTCACTTTCCTTCCTTCCTCGTCACCCCTCCCCTCCTCCTCCCCTCTTTCTCTCACCTCACTCCCCACACTTCTTCCTTCCCCACCTCCTCCACCTCCCACCTCCCCCACCATCCCTGACTCCTCCTCCTCATCTTCACCCTCCCAGCCAGCCACGGCAGCTGACATCATAGGTATCACTCGTACACTTGTTTTCACTCATTTAAGAATTTCTCAAAACGTTTGGGAAATATAACACCAAATAGTAGTAATTATCATAGTATGCACATTATGTCTACGTAAGTAACTTCATTACACATAGATTGCAGTTTTACTACACTCTAAATGCTTTCAATTCCTCCTGAGTTTCTCTAGAACACCTGCAGGTATAGGACCATTAGGACCATCCTATTCACTGCCCATTGTCTTAAGTATCCAGAGATAAGAGTCCAGGGCCTAATGGCTCTTGTTGTCGGCCAGCTCTGTGTGCATGTGTCCATAGCTACTGAATGATTGAATAGTTGTGCTAACAACGTATGCCTTGTGTATAAATATCTCCATGGACACCAACTCCCGCACATCGTGATGAATTTGTTATTAATCACTGGTGCGAATTGATGGATGGTTATGAAATTCTGGATGGGCCCACGGTGTGTGTGGTGTCGGTTGCCCTGTCAGCCCTGTGTTTTACAGAAACTCTCCCTCACAGATGAGAACCCCATATCCCTGCTGCTGATTGTGTGTGTGGTGGTGGGCGGAGTCGTCATTCTGTTCCTTGTCGGAATCTTTATTGGCCTCTACTTCCTCTGCTACTACTACCCTCACCGGTACAGTGTGTGACTCTGTTTACGCTTGCACTCCATTTTGAGGACTATAATGGAGCAGCTCCCCTTACCTCCCTACTTCAGCTACTTACATTATATACTCTTCAGTGTGTGCTTTATACTTGAATGTTCAATTCAGCTGCCTCTCTCTCTCTCTCTCTCTCTCTCTCTCTAGCCGGAAGCTGTCTTCCCAGCAGCAGTCGTGGAGCAAAGAGAACAGACTCAATGAGACCGACCAATCCATGGGGAACTCCTACGAACCTCTCCACATTCCGCAGACGGAGCTGCCCCCCTCTCCCTCCCCTCACACCAATGGTGTCATCGCCCACTTCCACATGGACATCGACCCCAAATGGGAGGTGCGTTGCCGGGCGGAGACACGCTGCTCAGGGGCGGAGTCAGAGGTCTAAACTAGAATCAACGCCGTCTTCATCAAACTGACTTACTTGTACATTCGTAGTGGCACCAAATTTCACTCCCATCCCAACATTTCCATTGGTCAAGTTTATGTGGATTCTTAAAAAAAAACACCGGCTTATCCTGACAGCATAAATATGATATCTCCCTTATTCCATTTTCTTCTCCTCTGCCCCAAGTTGCACTCACTAAGGTTCCCGTCTTCAGTAGAGTGCAGTAGTGGGTATCCATTGCTTGTAGACTTGTCCTTGCGGCTGCTGCGATTGTTGCTACACCGACTCCTCAATAGCAGAGCCTTTTATAGCCCCAAGTGTGAAATGTCTCCTAACGTTCTCTGTACATATATACCTGTCCTCTCTCCTCCTGGGCCCACAGTTTGCTCGAGGTAACCTGAAGCTATCTGAGGTGCTGTGCGAGAGCAAGGCCACCATCCTCTACAGAGCCACTGCTGAAGGCGTCCGAGACAAGCCTATCGATGTCACTGTCAAAGCCCTTCGAGGTCAGTACATGTGCCAGTTTCTGTTTGCACTTCTGTACGCATTAAGACAACTAGTGAACTTGCTTGCTTCTCTCTCTAACTACCCCATAACTTTGCCCATCATTCACTCTCTGTGTGTGTCTGCAGAAACTGCAACAGAGGACGAGCTGAGACTGATGTACTATGAAATTGACCAGCTGTCCTACCTGGAGCACCCCAACCTCGTCTCCCTTCTCCGAGTCTGCTCCGTAGAACGTGAGCACCTCACAACACACACACACACGAAGAAACAAACAAAAACTACGTAATTTCAAACATAGATGTGACTTGCTAACATTACCGCTCCTCCATTCTCTCTCTCTCTCTTTCAGAGCCCCTGTACATGGTGATGGAGTACATGTGTCACGGAGACCTCCTGGGTTTCCTGCGCGCCTCCCGCGGCCACTACGGCATGCACACCGTCAGCCCCGGGTTCCGTAACTACCAGCCGCCCAACCTACAACTGAGTTCCCGAGACCTGCTCGGGATCGCTGCCAAGGTCACCAACGGCATGCGCTTCCTCACCGACAGAAAGGTTTGGCAACTCAACCCAACGTTCTGGAAACATCACTATTTACACTCCCACTCCTCTCTCCCACTCCTCTCTGTCTCTCTCCCTCTTGTTTTCCCTCCTCTCTCCTCTCGCTAGGTGGTTCACCGTGCTCTGTGCTGCAAGAATGTACTGGTCGGCTCAGGAATGGAGATCAAGATCCATAACATCGGAGGTTACGACCTGCCAGCCGATGTCCAGAACCCACTGGTCAAGTGGTTGGCTCCCGAGGTTCTGAGAGACAACAATTACTCGACCGGCAGTGATGTATGGGCCTTTGGAGTCACTCTCTGGGAGATTGTCACTGTTGGTAAGGGCAGCACAGCAGACTAGTGGAGCCCCTATAATCCAGGCAGTAATGGCACAGTGTCCATGTTAGTGAGGTTTCCTTATTTCAGTGGTTAAATTGCTTGCAAGGAACTGCCATTAGTAGAAATCATTTCAGGGGTGTTGTAAGAGGATGAGTTCAACTGTTCCCTCTGTCCCTCTCAGGTGCCACCCCCTACCCTGACGTCAGTGCAGTGGACCTCTTCTCACAGCTGTACAGTGGGATGAGGATGCCCCGCCCACCTCACTGCGGGCAGGACGTGTAAGTCTTTCCCCTGAACTGAAACCATGCAGCCAGCAGCCTGAATGATTGGCATAGGAAAACACTTGCCATAACGGTGGAAATTGCCGAGTTCTCTGTTACATTATACGGTGTCATACGATTGGGCACTGATACGGTTGTTAGGTTTTGACTATCACGTTTCTCCCCCTCCCCTCCCACCACTCTCTCATGTTACACACAACACACACACTCCCCCCTCCCCCCTCCCCCCTCACACACACATGTACAGGTTTGACATGATGATGCACTGTTGGGCCTACAACAGTGGGGACAGACCTCACTTTGCCACCATACACGAGAAGCTAGATGGCCTGTCTCACGCTAAAATGGTACACTACATTCTTTCAACTGTCAGCTATTGTGTGTATGTGTGGTCTTCAACTAATATATAGTGTATAGCCGTTGTATAGCTGTTTGTGTGTATGGTTATCGGTGTAGCTGTAATGTATCTGTGTTCTTTCCCTCACAGAGCCTACTAGACTTGCGACAATACAACGAGAGAGAATATTCTCAGTTCGACGAGTGCCCGTCTCAAGCAACTGCCCTCTAGCACTGACTCCTCAGACCCTGACACTTATCAGCTCAATTGTTTCTCACGCCTCATCATTTGTCACCCCTCTTCCCCTCCTCTCCCTCTTTCTCTTTCTCTATGTATGTGTTGTGCGGTTTCTGCCACCTTCCCCTCCACTGTATCTATAGTTCACAAGAGAAGGTCCAACCACATCAATCCCAAGTCGTGTGACTTTGTGTCAATAATTTCTGTGCAGATTACACAATAAATTTTGTATTTTTTTTGGTTCCGTTAATTTTTCACTTGTAAATTCAATGACTCTCATGATTTATGCTATCGATCTGGTCAATTCCAACCAACTGCGCATGTGCAAATGGTAAATGACGTCATACGACACAAAGGTGCGCTCCTATTAGAAGTTCCTGAGCTCGAGCTATTTCGACCATGTCGCTGTCGAATGGTCCTGTTGAACCTACTGAAGTGGTGGAGATAAAGTCTCAGTTCGAACTCGAGTTTCGCCGGATCAGCGTCCCTCGCACTGAGGCCGAGCGGCTGACTCTGGACTCGTTCTACCGTCTGGTGACGGACGCGCACTGCCTGCCCCGCGGAGCCCCCGTTCTCATCTCCTACCAGAGCTCGAGGGACATGAGGCAGACTCCTCTGGAGAGCGCCGAGGAGCTGGCGACGGCACTGCAAATCGCCGCGCCGCTACTGAGGCTGTATGTGAGTCGCCTAAGAGGACTCGAAGTTGAGGTAAACTGCAAACAAGTGCCACGCCCAAACCTCTGCGTGTTTTCTTTTTCGGTACAGGTTTCAGGAAGCGAGGAGGAACTGGGGGAAGATGAGGACGAGAAAGGGAGAACCAAGAAAGGAGGAGAAGTGGGAGGAGGGAGGGGGAAGGGAAGAAGTCCTGGAGGGACCAAGGGAGAGAGAGAAAAGTCACCGACTGAAGGGAGACACAGGGAAAGGCAGCAAAACGGAATGTCAAACCTCTTCCAAAAGGCAGTGAACAGCATTCTGCGTCCTTCATTGACCCAAAATCAGTCATTATCAAATGCCTGCATACCACCTCACAGTAGGATACACGAGGAGACCTATGACAATAGAACGCAGCCACAGTGTTGGGAGGAGGGCGAGGGGGGAGATGGAGGGAAGGAGGGTGCGTTGTCGTACAGAACCAAGGAGAATGGTGTGGTTAATGGACTAAACAAACTTTCATTGTCCACTGAGAAGATCCAGCAAGGTATATACCTACTCACTGATCATTTCTATGTCGATGTTCGCTGGCTGTCGTTGCAGAGTTTCCATTTGTGATTGAGATTTACGGGTTTTCTCCGAGTCTCAGCACACAAGACCTGCTGCAAGAGTTTGACCACGGCAGGTCAGAATTCTGTGTGAAATGGGTCGACGACACCCACGCTCTGGGTATCTTTGCCAGTGAGAAGCAAGGTGGGTGAGACGTACGGTTCTATTGCTACTATAGTGTGTACTTGTCAACAGCGTGGCTCTCTGCCGGTGGAGTGTACAGAAAGATAAAGACACGGATGTTGAGGGATGGAACAGAGCAGTCTATTTCAACTGCTGAGAACTATGCCAGTGAGTCTGTCTACTGATTGTGTCAAGGCAGAAAAATTATTGGTTTGTGTGATTGATTGCAGGTGAGCTTCGTCCCCCAGGGGGGGATGGTGAGGGGCGACCAAAGACCACTGCAATGGTGGCAAGAAGAATGGTGTCCAGTGCCTTGGGTATACGAGTCCCACTCAGTACTCAGCAGAAGGAGAAAGAGAACAGAGAGTTGGAGGCAGCAAGAGGTGAGCCACCGCAAACTCCTCCGCAAGTTGGCATTCATTCAGTTTCTTCTGTTTACACAGAGCAAAGGCGGTCGAGACACTGAGAATTTAATTCAACACTCCATCAAGCTGGTCGTGGACCCAAAAAATCAATTCCAGTTTCATTATATCACTGAACAACATTACTGCAAAAACTGTCTCGGACACAATATGATTTTTTAAACAGATATCGACTATATATCATAGTATACACACACATACAGACATACAATATGACATCACATGTGAGACTAGACGAGGACATTGCCGAGGAGGAGTCACTCACTGGGGACGAGTGGCTTGTAACTGTACAAGTGTTCACAGTGTTAAAACCTGTTGCCGATGTGGGAGGGGGTGGGGACAACTAGGAGAAGGGGCGGAGCCTAGGAGGGATTGATTTGTGCTAGCAGTTCGTCGCACAGCTGTGTTAGACCCTCTTTCTCTCTGGCCTGGAGAGAGAGAAATATACACCACAACTGAATGCATACATCAAGTAATCAAGAAGTTTAATGAAGCAAAGTTACACTTTGATTCACTGTGACAAGAATGACAAGTGGCAAATTTTCAAATACACCACTCCTAACTATATAGTATATACTGAACCATCAAACAGATTGTTGTGTGATGTAAGGAACGAGAGGCCTCACCTTCTCCTCCAGAGCTCTGTTGAGGGTCTCCACCTGGAACTCTAGTTTCCTGACAGTCGCCTTGGTGAGGGCCACGTCTTGGGCGTGCTGCTTCTTTGTTGATCCATGTCGACTGTTGAAACTGGTGTAGGAAGGAAGGAGAGGGAGGTAAGAGAGGCGATACTAAATACACAACAGACGTTTTTCTCACTCGTTCATCTGCTGTGTGGCGTCTGCTTGCAGCTGCCTCAGTTTCTCCTCTGAGTGTAGGCATGACTCTTCCAACTGGGCAATCTGGCTCTTAAGGGCCTTCTCTTGCTGAGAAAGAGAGGGAGAGTATAGAGAGAATGTGTTGTGTGTGTGTGTGTATTGAGGCTGTATATACCTGTTGCTGTGAGTCGGAGGACTGTTTCAGTCTCAGGTATCTCTGGTGGAGGTCGGCAAAGGACTTGTCCAGACCCTCGAAATCTCGAATGGCGACCTCCCTCTGCTGTTCTATGTCCTTCACCTTGGCTCTCAGGTCGTCGTAGTGGCTGTGCAGGATCTCCTGCGTGCTCTCATTGGTTTTCAATAGCTCCCTGTGTATATGTGAGAGATGCACACACAGCAGTTGAAGGGGAATGCCACCTACTGTAGAACAGGTGATTATACCCTGAGTTTTAAGCAAATTGCTATTTTCTACACCGGGGAAGTTTAGGCCAATTGCAAACACACCCCACATTATGTATAATTATACTCCCACTAATAGCTTTATTAACGCAAAAATTAACATGTTAACCTGAGTTGCTCCAGTTCGTCCAGGATCCGTTGCTTGTCACTGACATGGCTCTTGAGTTCACTGCGAACAGCCTGGCACTCCTTCTGGACTCGCTCCACCCTCCGCTGAGCTGCGGCCTCCTTCCGAGACAGCTCCTCCTTCAGCAGCTGCACCTGGGCCTCGTGCTGCAGGACAAACATGAACAAAATCGACACCCGGCTTCCGATCTACAGTGAGACTGCCGAAAAAGGACCCCCCAAAGAGAGGCCATCTCTCTATAAGAGACACATGCACCTCCTGAAACCACTTGGTCCCTCCTCAAGTGTCCCTTTTCAGGTTCAACTGCGTTTGTTTGTCCCTATTCCTATCGATAACACCCTGTCCTGCTACGTGCTCCTCTCCTCTTGTGTGTCTCTCGCTGACCTTAGCTCTCTCTTCAAGTCTAGTCTGCTCCACCACTGCAGCCATGTCTTCCTCCCCGTACTTGAGGACCTCAACCAGCGTCCCAGTTCCTCCTCCTCCTCCTCGTCCGCTGGCAGTGGCCGATGGGGAGGGACGGGAGCGAGGGGAGAGGCCAGAGGGACGCGGGGAGGTGGAGAGGGTGAAAGAAGTGGAGAGAGAGGAGGGAGGAGGGTGTGCAGGTTGCGAGGGGAAGTCTGACATCTGAAGAGGAGTACAGAGAGGGGGTGACAGTAAGTGTGGACTCTATTGGACGGTACCTGGGTGGTGGGTAGTCTTGCAGGGCTGCTGGTGAGCAGGTCCACACTGGCAGGCTGGTTGCGGGGAGGCGTGTCCACTGCCATCAGATCATTGCTATAAAATGTACCACAACTGTAAGTCACCAACCATAATGTATGTTAGTCAGCAATACAAAACAAATAGAAAACAAACACATGATATTATGTGACCTGACCTAGTAAGGTGGGGGTCCCTATGAGCCCGGGGTATATGAGGCGATTTATGGGAACTACTCTGGCCCCCTGCCACCAGGGGGTCGAATTTCACATACAGACTCTCCCTCGTGAGAGCACTGACCTGTACACACCACCACCAACACGAGGAAAAGACAAAATCAACGATACTGGTGGAGGGAGTGAAACTCACATGTGAGGGGTTCTTGTTGGCAATGTTCTCTAGGTACCCAATGTCGAACTGGGCAGCTGGATTGGGAGGAGTAAAAGGGTTAAAATGGAGCTAACGAGGGGGTGGAGTCAGCCTCACCAGAGCCCTGGAAGTCCTGGTCAGAGAACTCGTTCATGTAGCGGAAGTCGTCTCCACTGCTGCTGTGGGTGGGCGGGGCATCAGATGGGTGTGGCATGGTGTCAGTTGGTAGAGGTCTGTCGGCAGACCTGGGGGGAGGAAACCAACCAAGACATGGTCTTCAGGTCTTCATAACACAAACTTACTGATGGTGGCTAGCACTGTCCACCATGTCTTCTACCACTTCCTGACAAGACAAGGGAGAGGAAGAGGGAGAAAAGATGGAGTAGAAGGGGGCTGCGTGTAAGAGCCTGCTCACCCTGGCCCATGTCGTGTGGGACTGATGGTCTGCCTTGGAGATTACCACATTTCTATCATGCCAGTTCTCAGTCTCATCCAGAGACCTGATGTGCTCCCAGGCATCCCCCGACATCTTTCCCTGCACCACACACAGTCATGTAGTTCTTTTCAATATCACTACAGTGCAGCTGGCATTTGTATTACCACCTCTTACCACCTCTTGCTCCCAGGAAGGCTGCAGGTTGTCCTTGTTTGACGGTCTCAGAGCTGGTGGAGGATCGGACGGAGCTTCCATCAACTGCCCAGTGGGGGGCGGCACTAGGCGTTAATTAGAAACAGCCGGACCCAGAGCCAACGTCAAAACCAGCAGTGTTCCGAGACGTCTCACTAAGACACAGAAGTAGTCTTGGCCACCGGAAATAACTCGGTCTACTAATTGTGCCGCTCCCAAGTTTCTTGTAAGAAAGACGGTCGACCAAAGCACTGGCTTTTCGGATAAAACCGCTAACTTTTCGAAATGGCGCGCAAGAGCGCAGACGCAGTACGGACGGAAAGGGTTAATTTTGCGCGCGCCGTCAAATTTTGCGGGAAAGTTTAAAAATTTATTACACACACGCATGTAAAGATTAGAGAGATGCTACACATGGTCACAAAATCAGCTCCTAGTCTTTGAAGAATAGTTCTTTGAGTTGGCTCATGGTGTCTTCTGGACTGGTGACCTTGTGGCCTGCTGTCCGTTTGTCTTCATAGATTTCATAGTCATTACCACCCTACAAGAACACACCAATAAGGAACATGTAAACATCTTGTGTATGTAAAGACTAGAAACCATGGAGAATGACCAGTCCCTATCTTAGTAAATGCCACGTGTCAGACATAACACAGTAACAAAGGCCTATAGTTTCCTTTAACCTACCAAGATAACAGACTTACAGGGTACACCTTGTCGCCAAAGAAGTGAATCTCTTTGTACTTGGAGAGGTCCAGGAGACCGAGGCAGAAGGTCTTGTCCCAGCCGATGGGGAAGACGTCGAAACTAATCTGACCGCCGATGGAGTACTTGAGGCCAATGTCGGGGAACTCCTTCTGCAGTGCAGCCACAAACTTCTCCCGGATTTGGTGTTTCTGAGTGGGGACGAGAGGGAGAGAGGAGAAAGAAGGGAGATGTTTGAGCGAATGTTTAGTAAGTTGAAATACTGGTACAGATGTCTCCACCTTGTCGTATTCAAAGAACTCCATTCTCTCTTCCTGAGTGCAGTTTCTCCCTACTGGACACACGTTTATGAGCCCGTTCCTGAACTCTATGAAAGTTCCTCTGTGGGTTCATGAGTTCCAAACAGAGAAAGAGAGAAAGAAAGAACGCGGGTGCATTGAAATTTAAAAAAAAACTCAATACTGTGCACCTCTTCTTGGGTAGATCAAGGTCGGCGAGGTAGCGCAAACAGAAGTTGTCAAACACTTTGATCTTCTCCTCCCCCATGTGGTCCTTGATACTCTGTGTTTGTAGATTACATCATCAACTGACTTGGAGCCGGTGCCAATGGCGTGAGTGGGTGACCCACCATTTTGCTGAAGAGTTCTCCGTTGTGGTAGGCCACTAGTCCGTTCTCAGGGAACACATAGTCATACATGTCCTTAACTGTGGATTTGGGATACAATCATTGAGAAGTGAGAAGGGTGGACTTACAGCCAGCTCCTCCCATCTGCTCCTCCATCTTGGGGTAGTCAGACCCTCCCACAATCCCAAGCACTGCCTTCTTCTTCAGCTCTGCCAGGAACGCCTTCATCTCCGGCTTTATCACCTGCACACAAGCACAAAACAACACAATTCCAATGTCACCTAACTGCATGCCGGCAGACAAGACTTCTCCCTTACAAACCATCTCACATGCCTAGCTTTCGGGAGTACTTTTCTCCTACGCAATTTCGTATTTTTCTGCTGCTTCCCGTAAATAAATCTAGTTGGAGGCATTGCACTGGAAGAGAAGAAGGGGGAACACTATATTACACCACCTTGGTGTCTTCAATCTAAAGCTTCAACCCACATAACAGGCTCGGGAGGAGGTGAGAAAGGCTTCACAACAACACACGCAGGAAGGCTGTGGTCACCTCAACTCACAGGGCTGGGCAACACTACCATGTAGCTGAGCAGATACAGAGATTCTTGCAGAGCATTCTCGCCAGTTTCTCTAGGCCTACAGCTAGCTAACACAAAATTACTATAGGCTTATCAATAGCCGTAAAATACGGTAGTTGCGTAGCAGCACCGGTAACACACCAGCTGCTGTGATCAACCGTCGGAACACAACGCGAGAAGGCCTTACCAGTCTGGACGGCGTTAGCGTTCCGTCCACGTCGAACAGGATCAAGACGTTTCTCGTGTCGGCCATGGCTGCCCGCTGCAACAAGTGGAATAGAAATATCCCACAGTCGATTCGGTAGAGATGAAGTTCCTGCAAAATGAATGCACCGGACAAGGGGCAAAGGCGGTACGTAGTACGTGTATCAAGGCGTCAAAGTGCATCTTACGCGTGCGCATGCGCAATAAATGTTGACGGGGCGGCCGGATGATGACCGCAAAATTTAACGAGAGAGAGAAAGAGAGATGATTATGCAAATACTACAGGAGTCCCCTCTACTGAAGTTTTCTCTCTTTCTTTCACCCTCTCCGGCTGGTTGTCCGGGGAAACTTGTCCTTCCCCATTGGATTCCGGTGGCTCCTGCTGATGAGAGTCTGTGGTTAGTGGTTGTGAGGAGGAGGAGGAGAGGGGAGGAGGGAGGGGAGTGAGCTGCAGATCTTGTTCTGATGAGTGTGGACAGTGAGGGGGAGGAGATGAATGGTGGGTGAGTGAGCTCTGGGGAGGGGAGGCGGTGGGGAGGTGGGGATCTCTGTGAGGTGTCATTAGCTCCATTCCGTTCTTGGTGTCCTCGTTCCAGGCCAGATCCAGAACGGGACCGGAGGAAGAGGAGGCGGACCAGAGACCCGAAATCTCCAGAACCTTGAGTCTGTGTTCCAAGTCGGCCACCCTGGCTCCCAGGATCCTGGACACCAGGAAATACAGCCATCATCACAACAGAAAGATGTGTATATACTACCAAACTTTTGAGGTTGCAGCTTTCACCAATACCTCAACTTTTCAGTAAACCAGTAAACTGCGAAAAATGTTAATCCTCAAAAATTTGGTGGTAAACCAGTAAACTACGAAAATTTTGAATTTGGTGGTACTATGGTACACACACACGCACGCACGCACACACACACACACTGACTTGTTGGCCTTCTTCTGATGGGTGAGAGCGATGGATTTCTCTTTCACAGTCTCAGAGAGGCAGTTGGCCAGTGTCTCCAGCTCAGTCACCCTCCGCAGGGCCTGTCGCAGGTCTGGCGGAGCAAAATAAAACTCTTCAACAACAGCAGAAAGATACAGTGGTAAATTGTATTGGTTCACAAACAGTATTTTTACGACTTTTGTGTATCAAAAACTGACTGTTGTGTCTTCCGGCGGCAGTTGAGGGTTGTTCTTTGTCCTCCTGAGCCTTTTTTCTCTCCACTGCTCTCTGGAGAAAGATCACTGTTGGCTGTTTGGGAAGATGTTCATAATAGACTGTTTGTACCTTGTAGCGATCTATTCTAGCGTTGGCCTGATCTCTTTCAGCCTGAACCTCCACCAACTTCAACTTTAACTCTCTGTGAACACACACAGCACGTGATGTTGCAAACACACACAACTAAATGAGGTCATAAACATGCACTCAGGTGGTGTGTTAAACTATATATACAAGCAGCTCCTAAGGTTCATAGATCTCTGCTTTTGAGTAGTTTTTGCAGGTTGACGCCCCCCCTGTGGTGCAATAGCATAATCTCTTCTGGGTTCAATAAAACATACACAAAGCGAGTAAAATCACTACCGACTTTAAAGACACGTTAACCTTCGATAAACAAACTGCACTGTGACTAAACAGAAGTGTATGTAGCAAACACGCTGGTGCTGCAAAAAGTGAATACGCAACACCAGGATGTGCACATGGTTAAAGATGATGGAAGGATGAGAGTAAGAGTGAGAGAGGAAGGGAGGAGAGAGGGAACAGAAGGGGGGCAAGACCTGTTTTCTTCGGCCAGTGTCTGCAGGGCACACTGAGACGGCGGTTGCTCGTTCTTCTTCTCCTCCAGACACTTTTTGAGAGCCGAGCACTGACTTGAGAAGTAGTCTCTCTTTTGATGTGGTGGTGAGGTGAGAGGGATGCATGGAAGGAAGGAAGGAAGGAAAGGAGGACAGAGGTGTATAGGGGTGAAGATGTAGCATATGAAGTACAGGATACTAATGCACTATGGAATGTGCTTGAGAACCTTCATAGCAAGCCTGCTTCAATTGACACTAACAGAGCCCCGCACTTTCACTCTGTAAGGATACCCTAATAAGACTATAAGGATGTAAGGGTATTAGGTACCTGTCCCAAGACCTCTTCCTTCTCATCTTCCTCCATCTGCAGCTGCCTCTCCAGCTCAGCTATCTGTCAGTGTGAACGCATTATGCAACATGTAAACGCATTATGCAATACAAAATGCAGAGACTACAGGTGAAAATCAACAGCTGCCCTGACTCAACGTCTTCTTCTACTCTATCCAACTGTGCTCTAGCTCATTTTACAGTACTTCTAGAGGAGGTTCCTTTGGTCTTGAGGTTTCACGCAAAGCAAAAGCAAGTGTTTTAAGTGGGCAATTTCTACTCAATATATTATATTCACGGCAGAGGTCATTGCGAATGCCTTGATCACCAATGTATGTATGTATGTATGTATGTATGTATTATGTATGTATGTATGTATGTATGTATGTATGTATGTATAATGTGTACTAAAGCCACCGCAGCTCATGTACTAAGACACTCTGGCAGCTGACCCTCTCCTGAGAGGACTCAAGTTGAGCCACAAACTGCTCCCTCTCTTGTACCAGGTCTTCACTGGGAGCACTGGAACTGCGGGCCAGCTGACTACGCTGTGACAGGGGGAGAGGGAGAGGGAGAGGCTTTTAGTGTAGGCAAGGGCAGGATTGACTGTTTGGTTTTAGATCTATAAACAAGCAGGTGGTTGCTTTAGACTGCCAACATTATAGGTAGCAGTATAATGGTATGGCAGTCTGCAGTTGAGAAACTGCCTCGGTGCTACTATATAGGAGAGGTGGAGTAAGGTGAGTGAAATATTGGCTAAATGGGTAGCAGAGAGAGAGACTCACAAGCTGAGCGATTTCCTGGCGACTGTGATCGACTGTCTCTCGCGAGAGGTCGAGTTCTTGTTTGATGATCCTCAGGGCTTGCTCCTTGCTCTGGAGCTGTCGGCAGTAGATGGCCAGCTGCACACAATCAGACAGAGAGAGAGAGAGGAGCAATGGCGAGTCAATGTATATAGCTAGTATCATGATGATTGTATCTACTGTAGGTATTATACAGAGAGGGAGGGCCCAGGATACTCTGTAAATCATTATACAGAGAGGGAGGGGCCCAGGATACTCTGTAAATCATTATACAGAGAGGGAGGCCCCAGGATACTCTGTAAATCAAAATCCCGGCCTAAATAATACAGAGGGTATATACCTACTGCAGTACATTGCCTATTATAAAGATTCAGGTCTTACGTAGGAAGAGGTGCTAATGAAGAAGTTGGTAAAATACAGTAATAGAAAAACTGATAGATCACAAGTGACACTGGTGTGTTGCTTCACAACATCTCTACTGGTTGAAGTGTGTTAGTTCACAATGGTTGGAAATGCAACTGGAGTGAGAAATTCAACGGGAGTTAGTGAGAAGGAAGAGCTGGAGCAGCGTATGTAGGTCACACGCTACAGGAAGAGGATGGGGCTGCAGGCACCTCTCCCTCACCCAGAGCAGGGCAGAGGGGGAGACCTCACCCAGAGCAGGGCAGGGGTGGGGGAAGGAAGCTGGGACTGGGGCATCAGGCAACCACCACAGGTGGTTAATTATCACCCACCGTACCATCAGGCAGGATGTAGGTCCACCAAGCCAGCAATGTTATCATAATGGACCATAGCAAAATGGACTGCTTTGATCTCTAGTTCACCCCGACAAGGGAAGCTAGTGCCAATGTTCATGGTAAATTGGTGACTAAATCTCACAGAGGAAGAGGGTTCCAGTTGAAGCCTTAGGAGGTGATGATCAAGGTGTCGGCAGCCTCAGGGCTGGGGAACAGCTGTGCAAGGTGCTGGGGAGCAACTAATAACTCGGCCTTACTAGCCCTTGACCACCAACTAACTCCAACAACACCTGGAGATCTGTTAAACCGAACCTCCAATACTCAGCTGGTGTCACAAGAGTACACAACAGCAGCGGAAGAGCAAGTACACATATGAGCCATGCAATGCCCGGTGCGAGGCACCATCACCCTGACCTGAAGCCACTGTCACACATTCTGTTGTTCTCCTGCAGACGAAAACAGTCAGATGTCTGGGTCTTGGCCACATATGTACATCTTCAATAATGCACGAGACACAACAAGAGAAGGAAATTGGTAAATCCTTTGCACTGTAAGTCACACACAAATACCGCGACCCACCTCGTGCGGTGTCACGACGTTGTGACGGTGTCCCCCTCGCAGCCTTCCACTTACCAACCCCCTCCCCTCAGAATTCCCAAACCCTGACTTGTGTACACACATGACAAGGAAGTCGTCTCACTGTTTCATTCCAATAGCAACAAAAAATGTCGGAGCGGTGGCATATTATGGACTTTACTACGAAACAAACATCCACACAAGGCATGACTCCCGTTCCTCTTCAAAAGCAAACACACACACACAAAACTAACAACACAGTTTGGAGGTGTTCCAGTACGTAATCAGTTTAGTTAGCAACACACACATTTATCGTGACTGCAGTTCCTTTGCCGCATATGGTATCTAAGGTTTTGGGGTTTGTTTTTGCTAGTAAACAATACGAAATGTTACCAAAAAAATGTGACTGCAGTTCCTCTGCCTGAAGTAGTACTCTGGGATACATTCCTCACATTTGGACTTCGTTTCCGAGGCAGCAGGGGGGTGTTAATAAAGACACACTGGGTCATGACACATTTTCCTTGGCCCAAGCAACCTCACAGTTTATTATTTGGCGTCTGTTTTGATATACACTACATAGTTTTTGCTAGTACACACCTCAAGAAATTTCCCCCAACCAGACTGATATTCCTTGTTCAAAGTAAGCTCACTACAGAACATCATATGGGGTCTGTCCTGCACGCTACTGTATGTACCACGTTCCTCTATATAGTCACACACACTGGAGCATGGTTTTCGTTCCGAACATGTGACATCGTAGCTCTAGTAAGTATTACGTACCAACTACATATATAGGTCCTAACAGAATGCCTGTTTGGCTCTACCACGACAGTAGCAAGGTAAATAATTATGTGTTAGTGGGTTTTCAGGAGCAAATCTTCCAAGTAACAAATCTCGGAGTACTCACCGATGGTCAAAGAGGATGATGCCTAAACAGTGGTGTGTGTACGATAACAAGCTGCCCACACAGTCTCCCACCAGCCACCCAGTCAGGACCATACTAGGGTCTGGAGTGAGACCATCACTGCTACGGTTTCAGAAAGGTCGCACGAACGAGGCCAACTGACACACGCACACTCGTACAAAAGGACACACGCCGAGGAAAGCTGCAGTAACAGAGATCCTAGCAGTGCCCTTATCAACGGTGCGACTAATATCAACGCACCTGCATAACATTGCGTGCTTGCATCCATGTGTGCGTGTGTTATGACTAGGAATGATAATTATGCTGGGATTCGCCGCTACCTCTACACACACTACAGCTTCCTTTAGAGCTCCTGCATAGGTCCACCTACACAGTGGCCCCGAGTTGAATAGACGCACGCAAGTCACCCTGATGACCTCAGCTCTGAAAGGCTGCCACCCGACCTCAAGCCAATCAGGATGACTACAGGACCTGAGGGATAACCCTCTGTGTACGGTACAAGTGTACCGAGACCAACTAGAAGGCTTCAGGGCTCTTAATTTCCTTCCACACCTTTCTTGATTGCTACCACAATCTTCCTGCCTATTTCTCAGAACACCTAAGGCGGCATTCATTACGCCACAATATCCCCAGTTTCCCCCCCACTGCACGTTATTACATACCAACTACTGGGAACAAGGGTTGAACAGAACACGCTGAGAAACACAGGTCACAGTCACACTGTTAAGTTAACCCTTTGCGGCGCCATTTACATACATATATATATGCACAGAGCCTCCATAAGTGCATAAGCATTTATATATGGCTATAATACTAGGCGCTAATATGTCATACATCAATTTTTGCTTATTTAAGGAGACACCTATAGCGCCCAAAAGGTTTTAAGAGACTTTTGTTTGGGACAGCCCCAATACTGTGAACCATAGGGAATTAAGGCAGCAAGTCAATATCAAGTACACCCAGCACAACGCTATTTTTTTCTTCCAAAGCTCTGCCCTCTTTGTGGGACTTCAACTGCTCTTTAGGCAGAGTGAGATGCAACGCTCTGTACCGAGTCCGAGTGTGTGAGTGTGAGTGAGTGTGTTGCAAGGAGGACATAAGGCAGAAGAAAAGCAGCTGGCACCAACAGACGTGCTAGACACCACAAAGGATATGGGCTACATGCAAAACCACACACACAACAACGAGGAAAGAAGTCTGCTAGTTTCCATGTCTGAGCTCCAGACTTTGACCCTTGTTCATAACGAACCATACTGAACCTCACCTCAGACTTGAGGGTGTCGTGATCCACCACGCTGACGGCGGGGACCAGTTGTGGCTGCTGCTGCTGCGTCATGGCCGACGTCCCCGTCTCTCGCTCACGCTCCCACTCGACCACCCTAATAAGCGCCCGCCGCCTGTACGCGTAGCACGTCCACCAGCATCTACTGCTGAGGGACATAGCGAGCAAAAGAGACACATAAAAATGCGACGAGAACTTAGTGTTCTAGTCCTCACCTACGGTGCTGCAATCATCAACTATTAGCCTGGCAGCGATGCCAGAACCAAAAACGACATAGAATGAGGGAGTATGCATCAATTGGAGCAACAACAATGATTATCTGCGCGTGGGCGTTGGCTTGGCTCGTTATAAAAGCTGGGGTGGCGAGCTATGTAGAACACTTTTAGCACTACCTCCTCCTCCCAGCGTTTGCAGAAGCAGTTCGCCATGAAGATTCTGTGTCTCTTTGCCTGCCTGTTCGCCTTGTGCTACCAGACCTATGGTGAGTTTCTCTACACATGCATGAGCTGTAGCTAGCTACGCTGTAGCTGGCTGCCCTGAGCATGGTGTTTGTAGGGTGGCGGTTTATCCAGCCAGTTTTGTACGTTTTTGCTTGTGTTTTAGCTAACCACAACTCGTCCAGTTGGGCGAGAGATCGATCCATCCGAGCTCCGTCCACGCGCAGAAACCGCTAGCTACAGTGCGTGCTGGCTCACGTATGCGACTAGTCTGATCTACTGCTTTTCTGTAGAAACTCTTGCGGTCCCCCCTCTGGCTGTCGGCCAACGGCCACTCCTAGTCTTGTTTCATCCAGCCACACCTGAGGGGGCGGCCAGCCCTAGTGTTTGCTGGAGCAACCGCACTTGTTCCACTGTATATAGCTGAGAAGGGCTTCACACCCAAAACAATTGTATCCTATCCTCTTCCCTCCCTCCTTCTCTCTTTCCCTCCCTCCTTTTCCGTGCAGGTCTGAAAAAACAAGCTGTCGCCAGGATCAATGCCCGCGGTATAACTGGAACCATCACGTTCACTGAAGTGGACGAGAACACTACGAGAATAGTTGCAAACCTCCAAGGACTCAGTGGTGAGCCGGCAGCACTCCATGCACATTACCACTGCATAGTACTTGCGCTAAAAGAGTGGACTAGTGAACAAGCCACATTTGAGGAGGGGAAATTCTTAGAAGCAACCAATGAAATTGAAGTATTTACTCATCAACCATAAAATGTCAAACCCCACAGGGAACCACGGATGGCACATTCACGAGCTACCAATCGACCAGACGGTCTCCCCGGACCTCCAGTGTCTCAGCTCATGGGCGGGACCTCACTACGACCCTCTCAACGCCAGAGCAAACCTCAACTATGCCACAGACTGCAGCACTTCCAACCCTTCAAGGTTAGTCATGTTTTTCACACACAAGCTCCTGTTTCATGTATATACGTACACAAGTTGTCTGTTCTGTTTTGTGTGGCTTCTCTTTGTATTCTGCTGTCTTTCACTTTGTTTCCTTTCACTTTTCTCCTTCTTTTTTGCTTTTCCCTTACCTTCACGCCCTCACTCCATCTTTCTCCCTCCCTCTCCCACCCTCTCCCTCCCACCTCCAGTTGTGAGGCAGGTGATCTGGCTGGCAGACTAGGCCCGCTCCCAGCCAACGGACAGTTGGACGCCATGGACACAACTGGCAACATCGATCTGGACGGATTCTACAGCATCGTCGGTCGCTCTGTCGTCATTCATCAGGTCGGAACAAACGTCAACTTTGAGTGTGGAAGCATTATCTCCCAGCAAGAGTTGGACGGTCAGTTCCAATCATTTGAGAAATTTAGTGATTTCACCTACAGGCTGCCATGTTGAATTTAACGATGTTTTTGTCTCACAAACTTGCGTGACAATTGTACTGGTCTAGTTATTTATGAGTAATGTTGTGATGGTGTAGGTGCGGAGGTGACAATACTGCAGTCTGTTCTTGTCAGTCCTGTGGCTGGACGCATGTACTTCAAGTGAGTTTCAACATACACCCAACATATAAGGGGAGAGAGAGAGAGGAGGAGGAGAGAGAGGGAGATGTTTTTTACGCTCAATTGCCTCATACAGCCATATTAGTCCAGGTCTCATGGGGTTTAAGGGTTAAACATTGAAACTTAGGACATGTGTACAGATGCTGTCTCTCTCTGTGTGTGTGTGTGTGCAGGCAAGTGGACGGGCTTCCCGGCATCCAGATCTGGGGTAAACTGTACCACGTCAATGACAGCGAACCCTCAGAGCGACACAACTGGCACATCCACCGTGACCGGGTACGTCACTGTGCACGTCTGCACTGCACACAGCGGTTACTCCAGGCTTAGCTAAACCAGGGAGGTGGAAGATGACCTTATTTTAACATTATAGTGGAGGGATGAAACTTTTGAGTTTCAGCAAAAATTTCACAAAGAAGACCACGAAACGGTCGGAATTCGTAAATTTTTCTTCCTTTAGTTTCCCGCTCACTGATTTAAGAAATAATTATGTCTCCCTCTCTCCCCAGCCTGGAGAAGACTACAGAGTTGGAATTTGCGGTCCAAGTTTTGCCGGTCCTCACTACGATCCCACTAACCAGCCAGCTGGCGCTGCGAACTACAGCCAGCGCTGCACCCCGAAGACCCCCGAGGGTTGCGAAATCGGCGACCTCACCGGGAAACTGGGGGCCGTGAACGTTGCCGCCATACCTGCCCCCTACGCCACCGACTCTTTCTTCTTCACCGACTCGCGACTCAACCTGACTGGGTTTCAGGGGGTCGTCAATCGCTCCGTCGTCGTCCACATCGCAGAGGGTGGTAGCAATCGTCTGTCCTGTGCCCCCCTCGTCGAGGCCGAAAACCTCACCCTCACTGCCTACCCCATCGGGGGGCAGCCCCTGGCAATCATCTCGCAGTACAGCCGCTACCAGAACACCATCATCTCCCTCGGCTCTCTTCCCTGTGAGTTAGGGCGGAGCGAGAGAGGAAAGAGGAGGGTTGAGGCAAATTGCTTAATTAGCCTCAATCAACAAAATATTAAGTTCACTAATGATTTAAGGTCTAAAGTATTTCCAGGAAAGGATAACATAACTAAATGTGCAACCTAAAAAGTAATGCTACAAACAGTATGTTGGGTATATGTGTGAGCACGAGATTGTTTTGTAGTTCTGGTTGCTCGGTCTGCAGTAGGGACTACACACCTCCCTTCCTCTCTCTCTCTCTCTCTCTCTCTCTCTGTCCTCCCTCCCTTCCTCTCTCTCCTCCCTCCTCCTCTCTCTCCTCCCTTCCTCCCCTCAGCTCTCAACGTCCCTGACGACCTGGGCAGTGATAACCCCGACCTCACTGTCGTGGCAGCGGCCATCGGACCCAACGAGGCCTGTCTTCTTGACGAGGACGCCACGGCAGCTGACTCCACCTACTCTCCCTACACCCCCAGATCTGGGGTGAGCACCCCCGACGGATATGACCTCGGTGACCTCTCTGGAGCGTAAGTCCTCATCAATATTTAGTGAAGCAAGGAACCTTGACTGCACGATAAAAGATGACTGCATGCATGCTAAAATTCAGCCATTTGAGTGAAATTCTGGATCATGTGCTCAGACCCCTATCTCTCTTTCCAACTTTATTTACAGTCTTCCGAGTCAAAAGCATTTGAAATCTGCTGCATAAGCACTTTTCTTTCGGCAATGCTCATTAACTCTTGCGTATGACTCTCAATTTTTTCTTCTATTTATTGCCTCCCTCTCTGTCTCTCCTGCCGCCAAAACAGCTACAAGGATTACATCACGAGTAATGGCTATTTATCTGTGTCCGACCTCCCGGTGTTTGGTGCCGAGACGACCGTCTCTGGCCGCACGCTCCGCTACACCTACGGCAACCGTCGCACATGCGTCCCTCTCCTCCCTCCAACCTCTGGAGCCAACGTCACTACTGTGAGAGCATCCTTCAGTGGACGTGACGTCGCTGGCAACGTTTTCTTCGTGAGTCGTTCTTTCACACTAACCTCTTTTCTTTCTTACCTCCTTCCCCCCTCTCCTCTCTCTCTCTCTCTCTCCATACTGTCATTATCGGCATAGAGAGGCGTAGGGGAATCGTGTGGTTTCCCCAGCACTAGCATTTTGAGATTGGCATGATGTCCAATATTAACTCTTCCCCCCTCTCCTCTCTCTCTCTCTCTCTCCACTTACTGGCTTTAAAGATGCGAAAATATTACTACTTACACTTGTGTCCACAGGTGCAAGATCGCTACGACAACGTAGAAACAGGAAGCACATTCATCTTGGTCGACATCTACTACCTGGACGCCAACCGCCAGCGGACGTCCAGACACAACTGGCATGTCCACAGTCTCCCCGCCGTACCAGAGCAGGAGTGTACCGGTGTCATTGGTGGCCACTATAACCCCTTCTCCGTCTCCCTCGGTAAGTCTGGCTTCTCTCGTCTCACAGCTATCTCTGTCGATTTTTAAATGGAAAGACTCCTGCTCATTTCTAACATAACTGAAATTTCCTAGACCTGAGAATTGATGGGCCTCTGACTTTGAGCTGTTCTAACTTCTCTCCCCCTCCTCCACTCTCTAGGAACAATGGCCGCTGATGCCATGAATCCTGCAGTCAACAGCAACTATTCAAAGGACTGCACTGGAAACTACCAACTGAGGTACGTATGTATATACAGTCAAACCTCTGAATAAGAGACACCTTGGGGACATAGAGATTGTACTTTATTCCGAGGTGCCCCTTGTATGATGGAAGAACCTAGTAACCTTTATAGAGAGGTGTCCCTTATTAGGTCCCTTCTCAGAGGTACATACAGTGTATATACTTGTTGTGTGACTTGTACTAACTCTCCCGATTCACCTCCTCCCCTCCCCTCCTCCCCTCCCCCCTCCTCCCCTCCTCCCCTCCTCCCCTCCTCCCCTCCTCCCCTCCTCCCCTCCTCCCCTTCCCTCAGGTGTGAGAGTGGAGACATGACCGGGAAACACGGACAGCTGGAGATTGCCACCTTCTCCGACAAGAACCGTCCAACCTTCTCCTACGTTGACAATAACCTCGAGCTGGGCGGAGCATACAGCAGTAAGACCTACTAATGATATTCATGGCCACACTCTCGTCTCTTGTACTTCCGATGTCTAATTCAATGTCGTAGTGTACCTAATTATTGATATTCATGTGAACCCTGTTTATACTGCCTCCTCCCCTCCAGTTGCTGGACGTTCACTTGGTCTCCATCTCCCCAGCAGTGAGGGTGGAGCTCTGTTTGACTGCGCCACAATCACCCCATTCTATACCTCCGATGACCTCATCACAGTGTATACCCCGGAGAGTGAATACACCACCAGGTGAGACCTCCCTTCCTTCCTATAATTATATGTAATCTCCCGCTTTGCTCTCTTTTTCCTCCCCCCTTCCTTCTCACTCCCTTCCTTCCTCTCTTTCTTCACAAACATTGGGTATGTGCATGTTACTATGAGGAAAATGTGGCAGTTTTTTTTTACCAAATCAAATGTGATTCTACTCAGAAATCTGTGGAAATGGGGACACTTTTGTTGCTGTACTGTTGCTAGTGTTACAATTTCCTTCTAATGTACTTGTAGGACTGAGTTTGTGAAGAAGGTGTCGGGAGACAATATTCCACCCAATGATGTTCTGATAGTCGGTCAGCGTGTCAGCAACGGCTGTGTCATGACCGTCATGAGGACTCTAGGAGAGACTCGTGAGCCAATATTACCGATGCACCTCATGGCAGAAATCACTTTCCAGATTTTGTGATTTGGGCTCATTTAGAATTTGGCAGAGAAGGTTGCTTGTTGTTTGGTGTGTACACATTGTGCCCATCACACAGTTGAGTTAACTTTCTGTTTCCGTGTTGTTGGCTTTGAATTTCATGCATGTTTCCTACCTGAAAGTTGTCTGCTGTGATGGTATCAGAGCTCCGTGGTTCCTTGGGAAGTGAACATATTTAAAACCCTGCATTGGAGCTACCAATTCATAGCTTTCTGCTTGAATTGAGCATAGGGATGATAGTGCTGATCTATTCACTCACCTCCCCCTCCCACTCTCTCTCTCTCTCCTTTCCGTTACCTCAGAGGGTATTGCTAATGGCTATGCCAACATCCTGGACAACAGAGCTGACACTCAGTTCACGCAGTGTGACCCAGACGTAGAGAGTGGGGGACACCTGCCCTTCCTCGCACCCCTCCTCCTCCTCATCCCCCTCCTCTCCACCCTCCTCTGAACCCCTCCTCATTAGGACAATTGCAGATACTTCATACATAGAGAGCAGGCTTCGTGCCATCGTCATTTAGTTCCACCCGATAATTTATTGTACGTGTAGCTGTTGTTTTGGTGTTTTTTTTCTAATTTGCATCGTGTGAAAATGATGTATTTTCATGGAGAACAATATGATGCGAAAAGTAATAGAGTGAAGTTATGTACAGAACTGGCCAAATACAATGGTGTGTGGAGGGTTAAAAGTACTCAGGAACAAAGGGGGTTAATCAGGTGGGAACAAAGGGGTTAAGAAGTTGGGATGACGATGAGTTCGATGGTGGGTCTCTCGGAGCGAAAGGCTCGGGCCAAAGCCTGAGCAGCTGCATCGTGAGTGAGTCCTCGGACACGGACCCCGTCCACCTGAACTATCTCAAACCCCGCCTGAAATAGAGAGGGGAGAGTGATATACAGGTTCAATCACTGGATGTGGTTGTCTGCCTGCGACCTGTAGCATGTGTTTATGTGTAGTGATTAACTAATGATGAGGTCACCAGGAAAATTCTAACATTCATGGCACTGCATTCTCCAAACCTGTAGGAATCCGTCATTTCCAGCAGCCCCGCCCTCTTTCACGTGGGTGATAATCACCCCTGGCGATGGAGTGTCCACACCTCCAGTGATCGTGAGACCTGTGGCAAGAGAGAGGCGGCCAGTGAGGGACTACTAACACAGTGTGATAATCATGTGATCAATATGTGGCAATCATGTGACCACAATCTTACCCAGCTGAGGAGCATTCTTCACAATCTCAACAATGATCGGGTTCTTGGAAGGACCCACGTTTCCACGACGACAACGCTCCAGACTGTCGACATCGTAGTCTTCGTTCCATTCCATAAACGACTCTCGTGTCTGCATTCCGAGCATTGACGGCTCCTCTCTGTCAAATCACACACAATTTAATGGAGCATGCTGTTACAGTGGAACCTCCCTCTCGAAGGACACCTCTGAAATAGGACACCTCTCTAATGAGGACACCTTTCTTTCCTTACTAACATTGGCCTTTCCGGATTAGAGGGCTCCACTTGTATTATTGACAGGGGCTTACTCGCTGGCTCTGTTGAGAAGATCACTGGCTGGCTCACTGCCGAAGGCTCCGATGTGAGGCATCCCCATGTCTCCCTCTCGTACCTTTGCCCGACGGAGTGAATCCTGACCTCCATGGCCTAGACAGATAGGAAGATAATGGCGTGAGGAAGTGGAGGTGTGAGTGTGTGAGTAAGTGTGTGAATAGGTAAGTAAGAGTGAGTGTCAGGGGAGAAGATTGGCTCACTCTGGATCTCATAGAGGACAAGGTTGTAGTTGTCTTGAACTGTGACTGGTTCCAGCTCTCCCTCCTCTTCTGCACCATCACCACTGTCTCCCTGATCCACATGTGTATCTCTCTCGCCTTCCTCTCCCTCCTCCATTATATCCTCCAACCTCCTCTCATCTTCCTCCTCCTCCTCGACCACTTCGTGTGCCTCACTATCAGGAGGACTCTCTGTCCTCCCTTCTTCTTCCTCCTCCTCTTCTTCTCTCTCGCCACCACCTCTGGAACTCTCACTCTCTTCTTCTTCCTCCCCACTCCCCAGTCCCCCCACCTCCCCCTCCACAGCTTCTTCCGGCTCAGTCATCATTCTTCCACTGACTCTCTCCATCTCCTCCCTCTCTCTCCAGCTACCAGCAGGCTGGCGAGCCTCTTCCCCTCTCTCCATGTATCCAGCTGTTAAACGTCTCCATAAATCCCGGAATCGACAGCGCTCCAGTAGAGGGGGGTGGTACACGGGGGGGGCGAACTTCCCTCTCCCTGCCCTGTATTCTAAGCTTGCATCCTGCGCCTTTCGTCCGTCGCTCTCAGTAAATATTTGAGCTATCCAGGAAAGAGCGAAGGGGGGGAAAAGATATAGCCTTGAAATGAACCGTAGACATGAGAAAATACACTCTTTCTGCGTTTGGCAAACCCATCAAACGTTTTCAAAGACAGGCGGAGGAATGAGGAGGTGTGGTGACAGTGGATGGAGCGTGGATAAAGGTACCATCTCTGTTACCAGGTATCAACATACCTCTTTTTCTCTCGTGCGAGCGCCGCATCGATCGATGTGGTGACCAACGGGAGGTACATGGGGACTGGTCGAAGGGTCGTCGGCAAGAGGAGAAGAGAAAGAAGAAAAAAAATATCAAAGTGAAGAAAAACGGAACCACAGGACAGACCTGAAAAATACGCCAAATTCTCCTCTGTTTGTACTGTACTGTGTATGACGACGTGGACACACAATGATTGTCGGTCTAGAGAGAGGAAAAGGAAGGAGGGGGGAAGCTTGATATAAATTGTGTGCAGTACGGCTAGATATTACAGAGTAGAAAGTCTGTGCACTCGATTATAATCAAAAGGGATGGGTTTGAACAAGCGGAAATCTAGGGAGTATACAAGTGAACTATCTGCAGGGAGCGGACACAGAGTCACCCGTGCGCATTTCTCAAATCAGTCTGACAGAAAACGAGCAGGAACAACACAGGTATAGTACACGCATATGACAGTCTTGTAAAGGGAAAAAAAGCCAAGTGATCATATTAAATAAACACTGCATCAAAGTGCATCAGTAACTCCCACTAATGGTACAAGAATGTCAACAATGTGGCGTCATCGTCTCTGATCTTGTGTGATGGAGCGCATCCATGTTCCCATGCTCGTGCCGAGACCACTGCCGGGCGGCCGGTGTCACAAAAAAAAAAAGGGAGGAAAAAAAGTGAGAAAAGGGGGATCACACGCGGAACGGGTCTGGTTCGATAACTGTGGGCACAGATAGAGCTGGGGACAATGGATGGAGGTCGCATGGCCAATCAGCTGATAAATCCCCTACAGAATCGCAATGCCATAGAATGATGGCGCAGGGCTACGTGCGGCAGACACAAAACCGAGTAACCCTCGTCCACTCGGAGGAGTGCGCGATGCGAGTCATGTGTGAGTTTCCTCTGCCAGAAGACTACCATATTACATAAATCTGAAAAATTTGTATAGCTAGAAAACATAATATCACATATGAAAAGATATGGATATTTAGGTGGTACCAAAGGATTGGTAGAATGGGGTGGTTGCTTTGGTGGTTTGGGTGGGTGTGTGGAGGGGGTGCTATACTTAGTGTGTGTGTAGGGGAGGGGTGAGGATATGCCAAATGAACAGCCAATTTGACTAGTGGTGTCGTCTGAGAGTGGAGACAGTGGGGGTGGTACGTGACGGGGGGGGGGCGGGGGTGGAAAAGTACAAAGCCTGAACTGGATCAAGTGGGCTGGGTGTTGGTGGGCGAATATTTGTATACCAGAAAGCTCCTTAAATGTTAGGTAGGCCAGACGAGAGAGAAGGAAAGAGGGAGAGGAATGAAAGAGTTTGGAGAAACACAGTTGAAGTAGGCGTGGGGCCACGAAGACAGTCGTTCGCAACACATAGCAAAGCCATTACCCAAAAACAAATACAAACAGGGGCAGGCGAAACAATAAACCCATAAAATCACCAGCTCCCAGCACGGAGGAGGGGAGTCAAGTCACAATACATCCTAGCTCGCAGATGCGATCTGGAGTAAGTGATTGGACACTGCAAATGCTCTCTCTACTTGGATGCACACAAGAGACCTGACTGCTGCCGGTGAGAGTGGGATTAGGGGAGGAGGGTGTAAGCAGGATAGTGTGGGAGTGGGTGGTGATAGCTTAGCCTGAGCGTGGAAAGAAGCGTGTTCTAGAAGACAAATCCCCGAACACATCTGGGACAATCGAGGATGAGATAGCGCAATATGATTTACGCCATGGGAAACCCCCGGCTCCATCGGTTCGGTCGGGAGTTGATAGGGTACCCATAGTGTGGGTAGTGTGGTGTGGAAGTAGTAGTACGAACGTATAGGACAGTATGATGGGTGGCTGGTCACTTCCGCTCCCAGTCTCTCTGTCCAGCTGGTTTGTGAGGGTGGTGGGGATTGGCTGAAGTGCGTAGGGAACAATGGAAGGTGGGTGTAGGATGGCATCCATCGACCTCCTGCCCCTCATCCAAACTGCACTAACTACACAACTGCAGTGCAGTCTTCAACCCCAAAGTACAGAATACGTGATTATAATATCAGCAATAAATGGTGGTTTGGCATTGGTATGTTGAGATGAGCCACCATTACATAATGTAACATATGTAAGTTGTATGAATGCAAACAAAAAGATAAGACAAAAAATAAAGTTAGTGAATGAAAAACAAAATAACTCACTCCACTACATAACAATCCAAGCGGAAAGACTCACTCTGACTAAGTTCGTATAGAATGCTAAATGGGTGTGGATGTATTGCTATGGAGAATTGACACCACACTGCCGGTCCTGGAATGAGCAGAAGGAGACCAAAGCAAATGGGTGGCCGGGGGTGTGACGGGGAAGCCCCAAGAATGGCGTGTGTCGCCACTGGAGTTATCAGACCGTGGAAACCGGCTCCGCGTAAAATGTGTGCCCGGTGGGGGGGGGGAGAAAAAGCAACTCCA